AGTATGTAGGCCAGGACCCATATCTTAGGGGTTGCCAGGCACTAAAATTACACTTAATTAAACAACAACCCATTAGGGATCCCGATCATGACGAGCCCCTTTGCAAAAGTAAGTGGAGAAGGGCACTCAAGGGGTTGAGTATTCGAGGAATTTTATATGGGGAATTACCAACTGATCCTGGGCCTGGCCACGAAATTTATCGGCCTGTCCAGCAAATTGTGAAAGTGCGTTTTTATGAAGCAAACTAATTCCACGAGTGATACATGGGTACCATATAAATTCTTATTTCTTTATGCAGACAAACCTATAATTATTTTAAAATATTTTGTTGATTACCAGATCGCTTAAAAGAGGACCTCAACGAGATAGTCCTAAATAACTTATATGTTCAAAAGTAAGTGATCTTTAAGACATCCCCATCTATGCCTCTTGTAGTAACCAAGCAAATTCAGTCAGAAAATGTTACAATACCTGTTGGTTTGCTTCGTTTTACTCAACAGACGTAGCGCCGACGGAAGTCTGTGCGCCACAAAGGTCATAGTGCGAGTGCCCCGCGACAAGGACATTGGCTTGATCTTTGGTGAGGTTTACTATCGGTTCCAAACGACCTATTTCAGTGACCAATCCCAACAGATCTGACCGTCACCAACCGCATTAGAAGTGACCGAAGGGAAACGCTGGACTTCACAGTCGTCTCCAACGGGGAATGCACCGTAAACACAACCGAAGGAGAGCAGGTGCACTCGATGGGACGCATCTTTGGAGGAGATTTCGGGGCTGTCGAACCAGGCAAGAGTGAAACTGTCTCACTGGTGTGGCCCACTGTGGTAGTCTAATTATTATTAATTATATTAGTTTTAGTAGAACACACGAACATGCCTTGCTTATACTTGTACTTATTAAATTTTTAAATAAATTTAAAGGTATTTTAACATCTTCAAAAATCTAAATTGACTTTAAGAAGTTCACAATTATAGTTTTTGAAAAATCTATTTAATATTTTGACCCCCAAAATAATATCACTGATTTTTAGAAAATCTCACATACTTCAAATTTATTTTAAATTTTAGAAACAATTTGTTTATTTAATACATTTACAGTGTTTAAAGAGAATATTCTTCAGGAGTAGATAAGTTTTCTAAATTATTGAAAAAGGGTAAATGTGTTTTGAGTGTAGAAATTAAATCAGTTCACTATTCCTGAATTTCGCAGTCCCTGTACAACCGAGTTGGCAGCTGCCCCATTTTAATCTCCGCCACGAGTGCCCACGCCAAAGATGCGGTGGCGACGGCCAGGCAAGTGCTGCACTTTGACACCCGCTTCGAGACCTGGATCCACATGGAAACAAACAGCGAAAAGAAAGGACTTCACGGACTGTCGCAACTGGGACAAGGATTACCTCCGGAACTGCACTCCGCTGAATTGCGAGGAGCGATACTTTGGCAGCGCAGCTTCTTCAACCTGGAAACGGAGAAGTGTGAACAGGTGTCTGACTGCTCGGGACCTGGGGAATACTATGACGTTTTCAGCAACGAGGGCGTCGATCCTGGCAATTTTGTTTCCGTGGAGGAGCTTGAACTTGTTAAAAAGGGGAAGTTTGATTCAAGTTTTTTGGATCTGCAAGGCCCTCTACTAGTGAGTTTGTCAATTAATAGCGCCACCTATAGTATTCTTTATGAAACTAAACGTGGACTGCTTGACAGCATGTCGATAAAGCAGCTCACATTTTTGGGTCTGCAAGGCCCTCTACTGGGAGTTTTGCGTTAATAGGTCGAGTTTGTCATTAACTAGCGCCATCTACCGGTGAGTTTTGTCAATTAGTTAGCGCCGCCTATTGTATTCTTAGAGAAACTAAATATGCACTGCTTGACAGTATATCGATAAAGCAGTTCACCTAACAGTGTACTCCACTGTGTATATGGTTGTAGAGAACCCATTTGACTGAACTCTAGTCACGTGCGTGACCATGTGGCGCCGTGGCTTAGTTGGTTAAAGCGCCTGTCTAGTAAACAGGAGATCGTGAGTTCGAATCTCGCCGGGGCCTATGGTAACACAATTTGAGTGTTCCATTACCTTTTTTGTATTATTATATTATTTTAATAAAAAAATACAAATATAAATTAAAGACAATTTATATAATTCTTGCAGCACCAAGAAGAACCAAAAGCCGATCGGGCAAATGAGGTCAAGAAGAAAAGCAGAAAACTTCTTTCCCTATTCGCCATTTATCCAATCCCATGACGCCAGAGGATTGCGACAAGTCGCGAAAACTTACCCTGGCTGATTTCAATGATTGCTTTCAGCACTTGAAGGATGCCCAATCCCAGACACCTAAAGCCTCTGAAAATGAGAAGAAAGTGGAGAAAAAGTCACCATTTGAAGTGCCTATGCTGACACAGCTGTATTACGATTGGTATCTGCCCTTGAGGTCTGATAGCTGGGGCGAAGGAGGGGAAATCAGTGCCGTAGAAGGAGAACCAATTCCTCAAAATGTACCATCCGGATCGGAACCCCTCTTAAACTGGATAAGCAGACTCGATTTCAGAGGTTGGCTGAAGCTGGTCCTCAAGGGAAGTACTATTGTGAGTTTGTGATGTCGGTGCCCGAACAGTGTGAATTGATAGTTGGCGACTGTTGCAGATCTTATTGCTAATTGTGTTTCAGATTTTTGCCACTCTAACGGCCTATTTTCTGGTGTGCCTTGCCGTATATGGCTTCATGGAACTTTACACCGTTTGGAAATCTGACGAGGCAGCCCAATCTTTGATTATGGATTCCAGTTCTCAAACCAGCGCCTACAACCTTGTGACCTCGGAAAGTCTAATGTCCCATCGTTAAATAAATGTCAATGAATATTTTATAATAAAATGAAGCTACTTTAACATACTTTTTTGATCTTTTGCCAAGATAATATTAGATGATCAGAGGTTACGAAGACTATTTACATATGCTCTAGCAAGAAATAGTGCACTATTTGTTTAGAAAAATATATAAGAAATTTGATTGACCGCCGAACGTTTGAATATAACAAGTATTTGTGTTATTATTCTGATCAGAATACTTTTTTTTAAAAACTGAATACATAAGCTTAGAAATAAGGATTTCCATATAGTAACAGGAATACCCTAATTAAACAAAGTACAGTGTTGTAAAGCGCGCGTTCTCAGTGCTGAGGCACAGCTCTCGTGAAATTCCTACTCGGCGAATCATTTTTTGTTTATTTAGTTTTATTTAACCGAATAGTAACCGAGCGCCAAAATGGGACCAGAGGAGGAGCTGCTGTTCCGCAACTTCCAGCGGTTGAAGGGCTACATGTTCGACGACGAGAAGGAGTCCACGACCACGTCCCGCGAGCAGGTGAGTAATGCCGAAAAGTCGGTCAGGAAAGATAAGATCCTATGGATACTTTCAGCAAAAAACGGAGGGCTCGGTGGAGAAGTGCTTTGACCGCTTCGAGCAGCTGATGTTCTCCCACCCGCGCCTCACCCAGATCTTCCGACTGGAGCACCAGTACTACCTGGACGCGATGCTCCGGCGACTGCCCTCCAACTATGAGTGCCTGGACAGCAGTCGTCCATGGTGCGTCTACTGGATCCTGCAGGCGGCGCAGCTGCTCAGCTTCAACTTCGACGACCAGACATTGGACCATGTGGTGCAGTTCCTTGGCAAGTGGGTTCTGAATGATATTTCTAAAGGGGATCGTGTAACATAATGTTTTTCCCTCTGTCCATAGCTGCCGCGCGCCAACCGGAGGCTTTGGAGGAGGACCTGGACAGTATGCCCACCTGGCCCCCACTTATGCGGCTGTAACAGCCTGTGCATCATTGGAACAGAGCAGGCCTATCGCGCCATTGACCGCCCGACTTAGTCCAGTTTCTGTTCAGCGTGCGCGAATCAGACGGCTCTTTTCGGCTCCATGTGGACGGAGAGACAGATGTTCGTGGTGCCTACTGTGCCATCTCCTGCGCCAAGCTGCTAAATCTCCCCGAGCCAGTGATAAAGGAGCTGTTTGCCGGCACTGGCGATTGGATAGCCCAGTGTCAGACATATGAGGGTGGATTTGGGGGAGCGCCTGATCTGGAGGCCCATGGTGGATATACCTTCTGTGGAATCGCCGGATTGGCACTGCTCAACGAGGCGGCAAAGTGCAACAGGCAAGCCCTGCTAAAATGGACGCTGCGACGTCAGATGACCTACGAAGGAGGCTTCCAGGGGAGACCAACAAGCTGGTCGATGGCTGCTACTCCTTCTGGGTGGGCGCCACCATTCCCATCACACAGGCCACGCTATCGGGGGTCGACAAGCAGATGGAGCACACCCTATTCGATGTGGAGGCCCTGCAGGAGTACATCCTGCTCTGCTGCCAGAAGCAGAACGGCGGGCTCATCGACAAGCCCGGAAAGTAAGGGATTTCCGAATAGTAAAGGAATATGACTAGTAAAGTAACACTGTATTTTCAGGCCCCAAGATCTCTACCACACGTGCTATACCCTCAGTGGCGTTTCCATTGCCCAGCACTCCGAGTGCGCCAATACCCACAGGTCCTGGGCGACACCATAAACGAGTTACTGCCCACCCACCCACTGTTCAACGTCCCACCGAAGTCTGTTGCAGCTGCCAGGAGCCACTTTAGCAATTCCAATGATACTGAGTTCTCGGGAGGCGACAGTCCCACAAAGGAGAATAGTTAAGGCTTCGGGATAAAGGACGATGCGCTATAGAGAGCTTTTACTGGATGGATGGTGGTTTACCATTAAAGAACTAAATTTGCTTTAATAAAATTATCTTTGAAATATTGTAATTTTTTGCTTCTTAATATCTATGTATGTATATGAAAAAGGAATTGATTAAAATATGTCTACAAACTAAAATATGTGTGAAATTCTATATTGTAAAGTTGGGCTGTTTTTACATATTCCCCACATTGGAAAACGATTCTATTATTATGACCGCCACTGTTAACGTCTACATGCGAATGTTTAAATTGAAGGTTATCCCATGTGAATGTCATTTTGTAACCCATTTTAAACCGCGGGATCGTCGGAGATACTTTATGTTCTCCAGCCACAGGACTTTGAAACGGAGGACTCCTGCTCAGGGCATAGATCGCCGGGAGTACATTGGTCACCTGGTCGATGAGTATTACACAACTACCAACATCGGTGAGGCTTTCATTTATTGTAAGTTGCACCCTGAACTCAGTTTCGATTTGCATTTTTAGAGCCCAGCAGCAGGTGACTGCTAATTTAGCCAACTTTGCCTACGATCCGATCAACTGGCCACATCTGCTGGAGGCGGAGGCCCTGGATGTGTTCCTGGCATCGCTGGAATCCCAGGATCAGCCACTGAAACTCCATGGAATTGCGGCATGTGTAACATTTGTTGGGTATAGAAATCGTAAGATTGTATATTATTACTTTAGGAAATCAATTTTTCAGACAAAACAGCTGTCAAATTCATCAGGGAGCAACTGCAGCTCATCACCGGCCTCTTTGGGCGCACAGATCACCCGGAAATAGTGCTCCACAGCCTGGCGCTTTTCTACCAACTTCTGGAATCAGGTACGGTTGACAAGGATTTACTACTGAGTCCTTTGGTGCTTAGGGCGGTGCAGGAGTGGAGGGTGAAGGCTCACGATCAACGTATCGTTAAACTCTGCCAGTTGTTGCTGCAAGATTTGCCACCCGCATCGAGGTTACCCAGGTGCACAATGCTCCAATTCTGCCGACAGCTGAGCAGCCGAGCACTTCAGCAGGTTCAAGTGGTTAAGCGCTTCACACAGAGCGATTTGGAGCAGTTCGCACAGTTCACTGGCGACCACAACTACATCCACAGCCTAGAAACACCTGTGGAGGAGCGACGGGTGCACGGAGCACTGCTCAACGCTGTTGTGGCGGGCATTATGGGAACCCAGTTGCCGGGACCCGGCACTGTTGTTCTAGAGCAGAGTTTCAAGTTCCTCAAGCCCTGTCGCCTTGAGACGGACACCCTGGTGACCGTGCGCCTGCTGCAGTCGCGCAAAATCTCCACCGTGGAGTACGACATTCGGCAAAACGACGATGTGGTCTTTGCCGGCAGTGCAAAGTTGCTGACCCGCAGCCAAACAGACTAGACTTCGTTCAATAAAGTTGGATTTGTATGTGTATTTATGGTACTACTTCTTGGAGGCTCGCTTGCCCTCGCCCTTCTTGGGTGGCGCCTTGCCGCGCACTTGCGCAGACGCTTCATCTCCTCCTTGAAGTCCTGGTGCTCATCCCGGAACAATCCGTAGTCGCGCAGGTTCTTCATCAGCAGATGCGTCTCCACGTGGCGCGGATACCAGTTGACCACGTAGTCCCGCTTGTGAATGGGCTCCTCCGAGAACATGCGAACCACCTGTTGGATTAAGAGGCACATTAGTTTACATTTTAGTTGATAAATTAATTCAACTACAGACCTTCATGGACTTCTCGTTGGTGGTACGCGCCACTTCGCCGAAAATGCGATTTGAGAGGTAGTTCATCCGGCGGGCATACTGCGTGCCGAGTTTAATAAGTTCCGTTACTTGTGTGACATGTCTGCTTAATATTACTATTATTTAACGTTCGATTTCATAAAATATTTTAAGAAATGGAACTTCAAGTTATTTGCGGTTATGTCACGAAACAAAAACAAGCAACAGCTGATTGCGAGGTTCGTTTGCTATTCACACAAAACGCTAGCATTGGGGACATTCCTGAATTATGAATTTATGTTATGACCGTTATTTAACCGCCATGAGCTTATAAATAATTTTTATTGAATGCGAAACATACTTTTATTCTAATTAGCTTACTAGTTTATACTTCTTGTATGCAATCTTAAAGCAGACCAGCGATTATATAAAAATACAACAGCGGATAATCAAGTACCCAGAGATTTTAAAAAAACCCATCATAGTTGCAAATTCAAACATGGTCATAAATAAACAACAAATATGCATTAGTTAACTTCAAATTCGTCAAATTAACTTTTATTTAAAATGAAAAGCAAATAGATTATGTGCCACCATATTAGTCAATTGGAATAACAAAATTTTAGCAACAATCCAAGCATAAGGCTCCTCCTCCCCAGTGTAATACTAGAATTCCTAATCTAATTTAAACCGTCTCGATGGCTCCCCGTCGCCTGCCCTCCGAACCTCCAGTGGCTTCGTTTCCGTCGCTCCCGATAAAAGATGTCTCCTCGGAGCTCTGCACAGGGAGCACTTCGCGGGGCAGGCCATTCAGCTGGCTTAGAAGGGCATTAGTGCCCCCAAGGGACGCTTCACGCGGCGATCCGTTGTGCCCGGATAACTGATCGTAGTGGAGCACCCGAATGGGCGTATGCGAACGGGAGGCGGGCGAGGGGTTGCCCCGCGAATGAGGACTGTTGGTGCGCGAGTGCTGGAAATCCTCAAGGGGAATCTCCTCCGAACTGGAATAAAACAAAAAACATTTCGGACTTATTTTTATCACAAATAAAGAGTTTTAATGCTGAACATTGCATGCTGTCGAATATGAAGATTTTTATAACAAATCAGAACCAGAAAAAACTAACACGTGGTCTCTTGAATAAGAAATTATTCCAATAATAATCCAAACAATAAATGTATTTAAAAAACGTGGAAACATCAAATAGTACCCAGAGAATAATTGCATGCCATTCGGTATTTATTTTATCAAAATAATACGAAAGTTATAATGAAAATATATCAGTTTAAGGATATTCCATACATAGTTATATCAATTTACACTACAATTATACTTAGTCAATCTTACAATACATGTTAAATATACATATATTATTGAAATTGATTAATAGAAAGCACCGAATATGGAAAATTTTGATAATCAGGTACATAAACAGAAAAAAGATAAAACTTTTGGATTTCTAATGTAAATAATCGAATTTAGCAAAATAAATGAAAATTGTTTGAATTAGAACAACTACAACCCCGGTTTAAGTCCTTCCCAAATCTCAATTATAACAACCATTCCAAGAAAGTAAACCTGGCTAAAAACATGTATGGTTACCGCGGCCTAGGCATCCTAGGACTGCTCTCCCGCGAACGGTTGCCGGTACTTCTGGGCTGGGAGTTCTCCCTCGACTGCGAAGAGCTGTGGCTGCCCATGCTAATACTGGGCGATCGCTCCCGATCCGAGTGATCTGCCCTCAGATTCGAGCCCGAAGTTGAGCTAGGACTGCGGCGTCGGGAGCGGCCAGCGCTTTCATTCCTAATTCTGCAGGAAGACGCACAAATGAGGATGGAAATGGGGAGCATGAAGCGGATCTACTCGAACTTACCCCTCGATGGAGCGATTCTGGGCCATCTGTGTACGACTGACGCCGGCGCTATTGTTTCCCCTAAGCACGGCCGCAAATCCAGGGACGCGATTAGATGTTGAGAACATGGGACGATGGTGACCACTGCGCGAACTGCTACCACTACTGTTTCCACTGCCTCCGCCACTGGACGTCGCCATGGTGCCGCCCACTGCGAACACGGGAGAGTCCATCTGCCCAGGGATCTCGATGAGCTGGGCGATCTGGTACATCTTCTTCTGTCGCGCCTTGCTTCGTCCTTTAGTCAGGCGCTGTTTGGCCGCCATGCAGCGAATATGGTCGTCGAACAGGAACTTGGCTGAGAGCAGCGGTGTGCGGTTGTGCGTAACCCCACCGCGGTGCACGGTAATGTGAAGACAACGCGAGTCATCCTTATCACCCTGCACCTCCACGTCTTGCAGAAAGCCCACAAACTTGGCCACTCCCCAGCCTAGCAGTTTGGCATCCGGCTCGACAAGGATCAACTGTAGGGCGTCAATAACCAGGAAGCGTCTTTGCTTGCTGCTGTCCTTGGCCACCACGGTGCAGGCAATCAGGTCACTGTTGTCTGCGGGAACACAGAATGGTTAGTCAATCCGCCGTAGTTTCTTTAATTCTAAAACTTACTCAGGTCAAGTACGTTCTCCACCTGCACTAGATTGACGACATTTGTCAGCGGCAGCAGGGACTCCTTCTCATTCAGAAACTTTTGGCACGTGCGACGCAGCAGGAAGTACACACGTATGGCTCGGCGGGCCTTTTCCACCTCCCCGCATGGAAGGCGTCTCGTAAAGTTAATTCCCGTGAGGGGCGTTCCCGTGGGAGGCAGTAGAATGGTGGAGTCCATGCACAGAAACTCCACGTTCAGTTGTGCCTTTCGCATCTCATTATATTCGTCTTCGAACAGGTCAAGAAAGATATCCTCCGACTTGTAGAAGTTCCGGAGAACCGCCATTGACTGATTGCGGGCACTGAAGAGCAGATCCTGCTGGGCGGCGGTGATGCAGCGTGTCTCATCCGAGCTGGGACGGGTAAAAGTAACCAGTAACTCTAAAGCAATCTCAACAGTAATTAAGCGAATCCGGGAAGCTAAAAAACATTGAAGGTTAATACAAAATTAGAAAATATTGGTTTCTTAATGAGTACATTCTTGTAATACATACATGGCTGACTGGACTGTGTGATGATGCTTAGCAGATGCTCAATCAAGGCTGTCTTATAGCTAAAGGCGCCACGCGTTGACTTGGCCAGAACCTGATCGAACCACTCATTCTTGATGCCTGTATAGAAAGATTAAGAAGATATCGAGTTACTGGATGGAACTACTAGCCGATGATTGATTAGTACGGGAAGTGGACGAGTTACGTACCATCTGGACGAAGTGGGACAGGTACCAGAATGTGACATGGTCATTATACATAGAAAGCAATTAGAATGAAGCACAAATGGGGTGATCAGAGCAATGGAAAGTTTCACAGCATTAGCCCAAAAACAGAGCGACAGGGAAAGAACAAAGAGATAGTAATATAACTTACCGCGATTGTGCGACATGGCATAAATGAGGCACAGCGATAGCAGGGCCAGGTAATCGTTCTCGGTACAGTCCAAAGCATGCAGGACAGTGTCCAAAAACGGCTTGGCCATCTCCGTAAAGTCAGACTTCGCTGAGGACGACTTTTGCAGCAACTGCTTTTCCTCGTCGGTTATGTTACGCAGCTTTGTCTGCTCCGCTTCCACCGCCTCTGCTTGTGAGTCCAGTTCCGTGGCTGCTGGAGAAGAAGACTCCACGCCGCTGTCCTCGCTGAGGGCATAACTGGATGCGCTGGACTGGCCTGTGACGGTATCCAGGGCCTGTTCGAGGCTCTCGTTGGGCTCCCCGAAGCCAGGAACCACCACTTCGCGGTGCTCGACGTATGAATTGAGAATCTCAGCCGCGCCCTCCTTAAAGACGCTGTGGTCTCCATTAAGGACTACCCATGCCAGGGCGTGAACTAGCGGGGCATGAGAAACCACCAGGAAGACCAATGAGAGCAGGAAAAGGGCCACGATAGAGCTCACTCGCGGATTGTGTATCTCCTGGATGTCGATGTCCACGTTGCGATTAAGCACTGCAGCTAGATTCTGGGTAACCACGCTAGAGATGGCGGTGGTGGGGCTGGAGTTAGTGAGAATATGTACAGGGGCACAAAAAGCTTATGCAGCAAATGCTCCGTAAGGACAGCATTCAGATCCTTTATGTCCAGCAGAAGGATGTCGCTCAAATAGTGTAAGTGGTCCAGGTGCTCAGCCACCAGGTTGGAAAGTTTCTGATTTGACTGATGGCTGCGGGTGGAGAAGGGATTAGGTAACCAAAACGTAGAGATGATGTCATGTGAACTCTTACTCTATATCTGTGCGCACACATGTATCGAGTTCCAGAATATGCTTGCCGATGAACCAAACCAGGTTACTGAAGTACGGGGCAGCCGTTCTAGGGGTAGAAATAGTGGTTTTAAGCCTGTCACAATCGATTAGAGGTACCCCTTACTTGTCTCGGATAAAACGCAGCATGCTGGAGTTCTGAACCTTGTAGACATTTAGGGAAATGGTGCGCACAGCAATCCTCACCATGGACTCGGGGTGATTGAAGAACTTGATGGCCTCCGTATACAAGGGGAAATCATTTGTGTGCTGTAAGGGAAAGCTTAAGTTAACTTTATAAGAAGGGATACTTGAGATAATGCTGACCTCATTGTAAAAGAAATGTATCGTGTGGGTGTTCAGCTTCAGACTGAGCGTCTTCAGGAATAGGATGTAATAGCCCATTACATCCTCGTCGGAGAAGTCGAACTTGTGCACCATGATGGAATTGACATGGTTATTGCTAAGCAGATAATCTGCAAAAGGAAAATAGGTTGAATATAATACATTATTATGATGGATAGGGGACTAACACAAAGATGTCTCGTTGCGTATGTTCTCGAAGAGGATGTTGAGTGTCTGAAGCAGCTGGACGCAAACGAAGCTGGAACCTCCGCTCTTCTGACGCATTATGTGCAGGAAGTAGGAAAGCATGTTCTTCTCCAGAAAGAAGCTGGAAGAGAAAAGGATTTAGCTTCGGTTGTGTAATTTTGTAATCCCGAAACCCACTCAAACACCAGGGAGTCATGCTGGTCGCCCCAAATCAGGATCTCAGCGATGCAACGCAACGACTCCACGAGAAGGCCACGATTGCTCTCTGATACGGTGGTGTTCTTCTCCAGGATGCTGTACAGGTACTTGAGGTGTTCCAGCGATAGGCGGTTCTTGGGCCGTCCGCCCCAGGGTCCGCCAAACCAACTTCGACTCCGGAACATGTTGGCTTCTGGGTTGGAATCAACTGGGCACGATTCGCCTGGCTGCTCTCATATCAAGCTGCAGAGGACTGTGGGGGCGCCACTCTCGTAGATCTTCGCATGCACCACTGCTCACGGTCACGCCACGGGGTTGGCCCACAAAATGGGGAAACCAGAATGTCTGCGATGCACGAATCTAATTTTGTAATTTGCGAATTGCGATTTTTCCAACAAATTGCTCTTCTTCTTCACGGGGAACACAAGTGACACAGTCAGCTGTTGCTTCTGCCCAAGTTAATGGTTATCGTTATCGGAATTCCAGAGATGCGTAGTCTTGTTATTGTTGTGACAGCATGGGAACTGCGACTGAGTCACAACACATAAAAATCCTTTAAAAATCAACTTAGAAACCAATATTTCTTATCGAGAACATATTTAATTAACAATACAGTCAAATGCGGAAGGAACCTAATAGATTACTTGCATATCACATCATGCATATTATAATAAAATTTGAGTAATTTCATATCAGGTAGACCTTTAACATTTTGGTATCCTGATTGTGATTAAAATGCGTGTTTTCTAGTGGTAGAGTTGTATGGTGTACGAAAACGGTGACTTGGTCACGACTTGCTAGTTCCAAACTGTTAGTTTTCACATTATCTTCGAAAACAGCTTTATTTCTTCTTCTGCCAATCTTTCAACTAGCTTGGTTTTTGGTTAAAATTTATGGAATACGAGCCCGTGTTGGGATCCTGTTGCATTTGGAAATTCTGTGTGGACAGGCCGAAGGGTTTGAGTATCATGTTGCCCAGATCCTTCAGGCTGGACATCATCTCGTTCTTGAGCTTCTCGTTGCGCTCGGCGATAAGGGGTGGCAGGCGGATCTGAGCCTCACGAGCCTCTTGCTGTCCGGGATCTATCTCGATCACCTTCTTGTAGTCCTCCAGTGCCTCGTCCAGTTTGTCGTCCTGCTCGTAGAGCTTGGCGCGCCTGCAGCAGTATGACATATCGGTTTTAAGTTAGATTAGATATTAGGTTACGGGATTAGACCCACCTTAGAAGTACTCTCACATATTCCGGCCACAGTTCGATGGCCTTTGTGCAGTCGTCGATGGCCGCTTTGTTGGCCTCCAGCTTAATCTTGGCTGCAGCCCTGTTCCCGTAGAGCACTGCCCGTTCCTTGCAGCTCTCCGAGGGACAGATGTCCAGGGCTTCTGTGTAGATCTTGGCGGCGCCTACGGCATCTTCGTTCTTGAACAACTCGTTGCCTTCCAGCTTCAGTTTGTCTGCCTTCTCCTTATTCGCCGCCAGCTGCTCGGGACTGAGATCCTTCTCCCGTTCGCGCAGCTCCTCGATGGTCAGCTCGGAGTCCACGGCCGGTGGTTTCGCTATGGCATCTCCGCCAGCCGCACCCTCCTCCGCTTCGTCATCCAATGCCAGTTGGCTCTGCTTCTCCACGATTTCGTCCACATCTTTTTCGCTCAGCTGCGTGTTGGTGGCCTCCTTCTCCGTGATCTCCTCGCCGATCGCGTCCTGGAACTCGTCGTCACTATTGGCGTTGCCTGCCATTCTGTTTGTAATTTAATCCTACTGGGTTTACTAGAGATTTCGGCTTGTTAACAAAAAACAGCAACAAATATTGCTCCTCATGCTGACGATAACAGTGCCTATCGATAGATAAGCTCCTAGAGCCTATCGATGACACACCAGCACTGATGTTTTGGCGGTTGACGGTGGATCACTTAATCCAGATGAAATGGACGTAGGAGCGTATATTCTGAGTGAATATATACCCGCCAAGCCGCTGGTCGGTAATCTGGAGTTGTGCTTCACGGGTGAACAGCAGGTGAGTACGTCGCGTCCGTTGGAAACGCCTCTAATATCGTATTTTTATAGGCAACCGGTGAAGCATGTGCCCAACTAAGATGTGGTGAGGCTTTAAAGTTCCCATTCGCCCGTCCGGATTCCCAGCCGAGGGCAGTAGCGATAAAGGCGAGCAAGGTGCTTGTGGCTGCAGACAAGGCAACGGAAACAAAACGCGTGTTGAGCTGACCCTGGAATCTCTCTTCGACTATGAGCCTGGGGACACCATAGGAGTTTTGCCCAGCAATAAGACAGGAGTAGTAGACCACCTGCTCCATCGGCTGGAACTTACGACCAGGCAGACACCACTTGTCACTTAAAGTTGGCGCTTAATTGCGCCAAGAAAAATGCAAAGCTACCTGCCCACATTCCGGCAACAACGAGTCCCAGGGAGATTCTCACCCATTGCCTGTCTCTAAACTTTGTTCCACAGAAGCAGCTCCTTAGTGCCTTGGCGGGATTTACGAGCAACGACAAGGAGCGAAGCTTCTTGGCCTGCCTGTCGTCTAAACAAGCCGCCGAGCACTACCAAAATCTCATCCTGGAGCAGGGACTGCTCTTCATGGATATTCTTGAGCTTTGCGAAAACTGCAGGCCACCACTTGCCTTCCTGGTAGAGCACTTGCCTCGACTACTTCCCAGACCGTACTCCATAGCAAATAGTCCTTTGGAAGCTGGTAACCAGGAACTCCGCGTTATTTACTCCGTACTCAGCCGCAAGCCTGGAGTCACAACAAACATGTTGGAGGCCAAAGCAGAGCGATCCACTCCGCAGAAGCCTACTAAAGTGGTCATCTATCCACGAGTAAGCAACGCGTTCCGCTACACAGAACAGGATCTGGGCAGTAACCAAATACTCATTGCAGTGGGCACGGGACTGGCGCCCTTCCTTGGATTTCTCGCCCACAAGGAGAAGCTCAAGAAACAGCAGCCGCAGCAAAAAACCGGACATTCCTGGCTTTACATTGGTGCCAAGACACCGGAAGCCATTCTCAAGCGGGAACAGTTGATGGCCTGGCAGAAGTCCGCCGTGCTGGAGCGTCTACGCATGTGTCACTCGCGAGGCGAATCCCCCATCTATGTGCAACAAATGCTGGCGGAGGAGGCCGAGGATCTGGTCAAGTTCTGCTAAAGCCAGAGACTGTGCTATACCTCTGTGCCGATGGCGCCAAGATATCCCAGTCCATTGCCAACGGTTTAAGTCTGTGCCTGAAAAAGCATTGCATCTTACTGAGGAGGAGGCCTCACGGCAGCTAAAGGAACTGAAAACGCAGGGAAAATATCGCGAGGATGTTTGGCTGTAAATGGACAAATTCAAAAGCAGTTAAAGTAATAGCCCGCGGATGTAGCCACTAGATGCATTTATAATTTAATCGCTTGGAATGGTTTTTATGTACTTCTGACATTTGAATGTTTCTTACGACGATCTTCCGCTTTTTAGTTTCGTTTTTCAGCTGTATTGTTAAGCAATTTTATTTTAACAATGTAAAATAAATAAATAAAAAAAAAACAAGTAGTTGGACGATTTTGATGTATAACGTAATGTAACGAATACCCATTTCCAAGCACTATACCCCCTTAGGCTATTATTTTGACTGCAGCCACAACATAAATATTAATTCAACAGAATGCTTTGGTCGAATAAGTAAATAACGATATATTTAACAACACAAAATAAAAATTACAGTGCAAGGTAAACTAAATACATACAATTGTGAGGGGCCAACTTCAAAGATCGAAGTGGATGGGGACTAAATTGCAAAATAAATCTAAATAATGGTAGAACATACGAATACGACTTAGGTTCCAAGCAAACTAAACGTGCGCACATAAAACATAAAACTTATTGTGGGATTTACTCATTGCATTTAAGCGATCGTTAAAGCGCTATTGTATCGTTACTGTTTTTCCGCTTCTCTAAATATCTAGATCTTCGTTTTTTTTATCATACTGTTTATGTTTATTTTGGCAAGTCGGGTCTTGACCTTGCACATTAATATGCATTTTGTATTTTAACTACGTTTAAGTTTAATTGAAATAGAGCCAATTCTTTTAGTGTATATAATAATATAATTACGAATCGATCAAAATTGATGTCAGCTTCTTCTTTCTCCTATTCGTCCATTTACAATTGCAATAAAAGTTGCGTATAAAAAATTATGCTACCTTTTGTTGTTCTTTGTTTGGTTTGAAGACTTATGTTTCATTTACAATTACGTTATTAATTGCAATATTTGCGTTCGTCTTAAATGCGTTTGCGAATATGTAATGTCGGGTATGTCTCGGATTCCAAAAAGGTCATCTAAACCCATTTCTACTGCCCCTAAATACTCTCCGTTCGTTGCCTTCCTAATACTCATTTAAGCTAAACTAAGAAAATCAAATAAATTTTCGATTAATAGTTAAGTTAAGCTCTTTAAAAATTATGAATGCATAATTATAGGCCAAATATTGGGATTTCGTTTCGTATATAAAATTTAACTATGAACCGATCTGCAGCAGCAGCAATCCATTGTCTACTAATATCAGAATTGCAAGTAAAAGATAATCCCTATCGGTATTGGTATATATAACAGTTTAAGAAAGCTAACACCGGCTGGCAGAATAACCTCGAATGTACCCTTTTTTGTTCCGCCTTCGTTGTGTTTCGGTAAAATATCTGTGAAAAGTCTACCGACTAACTATATACTTTTTGAATAAATCTTGTGGTGGAAATAGCACTCAATATTTAAATGAAAAGGTGGTGAAAAAGAAAAACCCTATAATGGATAGGGTGTTGATTACTGTCTCTTCAAGATATCTCGTTCAGCAATTGACATTGCTTATAATTCCCGTTGGGACTAGGTTTAGTGTACGTATACCACTTCTATATGCATATACTCCCTTTAGGGATATTTCTTTGTTTCAATATTTCACTTTAGCTTTGACACACACATTACCGCGTTAAATAACATCTCTACTATGATAGGGTTCTGTATAGAATTACAATTTTCTTTGTGCGTATGGCAAATGTCTCGGGGAAGGAACAAGGAAGTCTATGTAAATCTGTTCTTTTGTGGCGTTTTCGGTTAGTCTTAAGTTTGTACTAATTAAAATGGAATATCAAAGATTTTTCCCTCAATCCCGTCAACACTGCGAATATCAGCTAATATACAAGCTCCGGGGGCTAGCTTGTCTAATTAGTTATCTGTTGCATTGATATATCTGTATTCTATGGGAAATGATAAATTGTGGAGATAATTTTGCTGTTGCTGGTGTGTCGCTTGCTGCTGCTAGCTCTAGTCCTAATGGCACTTGTTACACTCATTTCGACTTGCTATAATTATCGCCTTCGCTTTTTTGTTTTGATTTTTTTGTGTTTTGTTTTTTGGTAATTTACAACAAGTATTGCATGTTCTCTGTTTAGGGTTCGTTTGCACTTACTGACTACGACGAATTTTATAAAGAATCGCATAATGCAGATTTGATAAAATCGCTTAAATCACAATTATGTATATATACGGGTATATAAAGAGTAATCAAACTTATGTCCCTACAGTTAATAATACAGTATCTATATCATATGTGCGTGTTTGTGTGCGTTGTGGCATATACACTGGTATACGCGCCATGTACGAAGTAAGCTAATTTGCCATAGGACAATCTAATCTAAGCGATAACCCCCGCCCCTCTGCCTCTGAGCGATGCGATATGGATCCACGGTTTTGCGACGGTTTCCTCCGAGTTTTCCGGCCTCAGTTCATCTCTCTTTCTCGCTGTCTCGTGCTGCAAAAAAAGAATAGATAAAAACGATCGTTATTATTGTTGGTAAATTTCCAGGTCAAATTGCTGCACTGCAGCCAAGAAAAGGGGCAAAACGAGAATGGCGTAGCGAATAATTAACACATCGACCTCTAATAATTGCCATCACCCTGAAATACGTTTATGGGCAAAAGAATGTGCAATAAAGGGTACAGAAATAGCTAAATGGATCTATGAATTGCAAGTGGAAATGCAATGAATACAAAATACAATAAATTCCTAGTCCTTAAAAATCATAACTAAAAACCTATTTTGAGTGGAGCAACCGCAAATATATTGATTCTACATGACAAATTCGACATTGTCATTGTAAAAAAAAAATTAGTTAAATAAAAAACACATTACGTTGTTTTGATTCATTACTGTAAAGATAGATAGGCATAACGAGTTAAATTTTATAATAAACCCAAACAGGAATTTTTGCGAACCGAACCTTATTTTCTGAAGTCGAGTGTAGGGTCGAAAATACATTTTGTTCGGGAAGCACAAGGCAAGGTAAACTAATCAAACAACTGTTCCGTTATCGGGGAACCCCTTATCAGCTCATTTGATACAACCAGCTGATTAGCTGGCCAAAGAAATCGTTAAATATAGATCGTTACAGTCACGACAGGTGGGTGGACCTTGGCATCGGGGGGGCTGAGGTCAGGTGACTGCATATTATAATTAATAATGCATTATCAGTACCCATTTTATGGCGCCCCTTCGATGGGTTAATTCAGGGGGTATCTGCATAATCTTTTGGCGTCGTTCGCTCGTTTTGTCTTACCGCCTCCCCCGCACTTGATCACTCTGTGTTGTTGAAAAGAACTATTGTTATGCCATGGGAGAGCGGAGCACGTCAATTATCAGCACAATAATTGTTTATATTTATCAGCATGTGAAGCAGCACCCGCTCCAAAGTCACGCTTCGATTTCAATGAAACGCGGCCTGCCGAACACTTCCAGTTTTCCCCACAATTTTCCTTTGACGAAATCAGAAACGAGAAGAACAGTCACTCAGAAAAATAAGAAACTTTTCAGAAATAGAAATTCAGGTTAAATAGCGATGATATATACATTAGTTCAGATATGTTTTTTCTACAACATAACCCTAGGATCCTTCAAATCTAACCTCCCAAATGTTAACGGTTGTATCTGGTATTCTTATAAGAGAACATGTAAAATCATCAATTCATTATCAAATATCATAAGATTTCTCTCAGTGCAGCTGATTATTAGCTGGCAGGCAAATGAGAGCGCGCTCCAGATGCAAAGAGGGTCGAAAGAAGTTCACTCGTGGATCGTGTACCAATGCATGTACACATTACATTACATTGCAATCCACTGAGTCTCACCGCAAAATATATATTTTTATTACGAGTGTACTTGCAGCGAGTACGTGGTGTGGTTTGTGTGTGTAAGTGGATGAGTATGTCGCAGGCATTGGAAACTCTGACAAAACATTCGTTCGCAAATGTTACTAAAGCCAGTGGATTCAGATACAGTGTAATACACAACTTTGCATTGTTGGTTGACGTGATCTGCCCGGGGGGATTAAGAGGGGGAGGGGAGGTCGTTTACAAACACCCCCCTCAACGTTGGATGGGAAAAATAAGTCTCTGCCGCAAAGTAATGAATGAATCATCTAAAATTCCGCATAGCTACCAAACAACAACTTGTGTGGTTCAATAAACGAAACACTCACACACGCAGACATTCGGCCGAAAAACCTTTCGAGCAAGGTGAAATTATCATTCGACGGCGCCATTCCAAATCGAACTATATGTGAGTGGTTTAGTCATTATTTCTGGGTCTTGGGGCGTCGCTTGCTAGACCATTTTCAAATGTCTCTGGGAATTCACGAGGCCCTTTCACTCACTAACTCACACATGTCTACACAGACAGAAAAATTAATATGATTTAATGATATAATTAGTTGATACACATTTTGGAATTGATATAATATGTAAAAACTATGAACGAAGCTGAAGAAATATAAAATAACGGATACTCTATGGTCATGTTGATTTATTATTATAAAAATTAATTTTAAAACAACTCAGGAGATATTTTGTTCTATGTATCCAGTTGTACTTTGGCCCCAGCATCGAGGTTCCACGCCCAGAAGCCAGAATGGAAGCCGAAGAAAATGTTTCAGTTTTTGCGAAATTCCGTTCCGTAGCCCTTTCCCCCTGCTTTCCAGTATTTCCCGCATTCAAGATTTCAATATCCGCAAGTAAGCAATCCAACGCACTCTCTTGCTCCCTCTCCCGCAAAACGGAAAGCAAAAGTATGCGCCAGTAATATAAACAAATAAAGAGCCTAGAGATCCGGTAGAAGTCAGGGAAGAAGACAGGGGCGAATCCAGTAGGGGGTTAAGAGACGATAGGCCCCTTAAGTTTTGCCAATGAAAAAAAATATCCCAAAATCTTGACATTATTCCAACAGTGTTCCCCTATTTTGAATGAATTCACTCACAATCCCCAGCTAGATCCGGCCCTGGAAAATGCAGAACAGTGCATCACAATGCAGGGGAAGAGACAAGCCAAGTGGGAGTGGGAGAGAGTAAAAATAGCGCAGCCAAGTCGCGACGTCGCCATCCCCCCTCTCGCTTGCTCCAGCAGCAGAAGCAATTAAGTTGAGTAAGTGGGAGGGAGACCAAAGATGCAGAAGAACCACATGAAAGAGAGAGATGGGGAGAAGGAGAACCGCCATCAGAATCAATTATACACACTCTCATTCTTTGTGCTACACACACTTTGAGTTTGACTCCACTTTCGCTCTCTTGGCGCCCCCTCCTCTCTCACTCTCTCTCTTCGCAGAACTTTCACGATCTAAGTTATTTCCTTTTTTTTTCTTTAGCTTCGCTTATCACATCGAAAATGGACGAAAATTGTTCTAAGAATTTAAGAACTTGATAAATTCCGCTCCGATTTGTATACTGCCTGGGGGAATTACAATAGCACTTATACACTGTGTAGTACTCGGCTGATAAGGCCAATACAAATGCAATCTGCGGAGCGTAGGTGCTTTCGCTGTCCGTGTGTTTGTATGAATTAAAGTTTTCTTTATTATGATGTATGAATGTATGAATATATTTTGGCCAGACAAAGCGATATTCCAAACAGGAAATGCGAACGAGCGTGTTAAATTGCGTACTTAGTTGTTTTTTTTGCTGTTGTTGTCGGAGCGGCTTCTTTCTTTTTTTTTGTCCATTGTCAGTTTTCAATGGGATGTCTTGTGCAAAAACTCTGCACGTAGTATACGTAATAGGTGTGCCAACGAAAGGGACCAAAAAAACGACTGCAATAGCCGAATAACGGCATATGCTCTGAGTCAGAGTAACTTCAAATAGGAGAAACCCAAATTTCCTTTTCAGGGAATATGTTCCCTAAAAAATTTTATGGTTAATATTAGCTGAGTAGATAGACGATAGTCTTAATATAACTCTAAAAAAAAACTCATATTTTGACAATCTTGTTTTTAATGAAGATTTGTCATAACAAGTTCAAAGCAACTCTTATTTTGATAAATTTGCATATTTTTGAAATTCAAATAAAGAAAGAAGGGATGTTTAAAGTTGAGTCATTCTTTAAGTTAGATAATAAAGAATAAGTAAGCAGAGGCGTAAAGGACCGCTGGTCCCAATTCAAAGTTTTGATAAATGACTCTCTAAATTCATGTGATTTTTTATTATGGCGATCAGCATATTTGCTCTTTGGGGCGTTGCAAATGGCCCAGTTTAGTATTCCCTTTCTACTAGGGAAAGAAACTAACCAAGAGACAAAAACCTCGTGCACTGCGTAACCTTGATCGAATTTAATCTGTTGTTCGAACCGACGCCACTTACTGATTAAGAGAGTCAAGATAGTAAACTATCGCCGTTTTGGGCAAAATTCAGCCAACACAGCGAAACTAACCCATCGGCCAATAAACCGGCAGCCTCTGTTTCCACATGTGCGATTGCGAAAAGGTTTCCGTTGAAATGGATATCGCCTGCTTGAATAATGAACTCGGCCCAGCTACCTGGGTAGTATTCAAAGGGCGGGCGGAAAGCGGGACTTACCTGTTTTCGAAGGGGAGTTGTCGGGTCCTAGTCCTGCTCTCGCTATTTCTACGGTTGTACACACTACAAAGACTACGATCAGCATTCTGTTCCAGTTCCAGTTCCGGTTTCGTCCACACAAAACAAATTTACATTGAAAACTCATTATACACACGGGGCAGAGCCCGATCCCGATCCCGAATCCGCTTCCGATCACGCATAGAGCAGCCTGGCCGTCCGGTGATTGCACAGCAACTATACGTTGCGTCGGAGTACCTTCTTGGCGGCCTTGATGTTGGGCACAGGGCCTTGACCTCGCTGCAGTCGTTGAGGAAGGGATGGCTAAGTAGCTCGTCGGCGGTGGCCCTTCGGTCGACCTCCACCTGGAGACAGCGATCGAGGAAGTCCTGGAGGTTGGGACTGAGCTTGTCCCACTCTTGATGTCCGGCCGACCGTTGGCGGCGATCAGGTAGAGGGCGCGGAGCGGAGTCTCGTACAGATAGGGCGGTTGGCCCTCGATCATTTCGATGGCCATGATGCCGATGGACCAGATGTCCACCTTTTTGCCGTACTTCTTGCGCGTGACCACCTCGGGCGCCATCCAGTACGGTGTGCCCACCATCGTCTGGCGCTTCTCGTCGCCCTCGATATTGGCGCAGAAGCCAAAGTCTGTTACCTTGACGCAGCCATCCATGCCCAGCAGCACATTGTCTGACTTGATGTCCCGGTGGATGATGCCCTTGGCGTGAAGAAGCTGATCGCATAGAGCGTCTCGCGGCAAACGCAGGCGATCTGTCGCTCCTTCATCACAGTCTCGGTAACGACGTCGGTCAGGGGGCCGCCATCCATATACTCCATGACCACCCACAGCTGGTCCTCGGGCTCCAGCAGGTAGGCATCCAGGAAGTTGACCAGGTTCTTGTGGTTGAAGTCTTTAAGCACCCGGATTTCGGTGAGTATGAGATCCTTGGAGGACTGGTTCTTCATGTCGATGGTCTTGACGGCCACCTGTGATTCGTTCTGCAAATCGCCGGCTATGAAGACTATGCCGGAGGCACCTTTGCCCACCTCCTGTGTGGTCTTGTAGCGCTCCCTTGGATCCTCTGGATTGCAAATGGCCCGCAGCTCATCGTAGATCTCGGCATCGGTCTTCTGGGCACGCTTCTCCTTGGAACGACGGAGTATCGTCTCGTCCGGATTGTCATCGGCATCCTGGGCATTGCCGGCTGGTTTGATGATGATGGTGTCCGTGTTGATCTTGTGCTGGTTGTCGGAGTCCTCTTCCTGCCGTAGGTCCGAGGTGCGTGAGAACTTCTGGGTAACCCGGGGTTTCGGCTTGATCTGCGGCTTGGGCGGCATGGCATGTGGCGATTTCTTGGGAGGCACTGGTGGCGGCTCCTGTGGCGCCGCCTTTAGCGTTTCACGATGCTCCAGATTGGACTTAAGCTCCTTGAACACCTCCTCCAAGGCGTCCAGCCGGACCGTCGACTGTTGGCTGCTGTCGTTGATGCTGCTGCTGTTGCTATTTCCCGCCGAGGAGCCGCATCCGCTGCTGCTCTCCGTCTCCGTGGCCGTGGAGCTGCCATCGTCGTCGGACTTCTCGGGGTCCTGAGACTTGTGTTTGTTCTTGTAGTTGACATAGTTCTCGATCTCCTTGGACTCTTCGTGGATGACGTCCTCGGTGATGAAGGGCTTGAAGACCTCGTTCTCCTTCTTCTTGATCGAGTAGTTGTAGTACTTGACGGCATGGTAGGCGGCATCTGGATTCTTGTCCTGCTCATCGCGAGTGATCTGTTGGTTCATCAGGCGCACCCAGGGCGCTGGAAGGCCTTCCAGGTCACCAGTCTCCTGGTTGCGCGAGACATGGAAGTGTCGCTGGAAGTTTGTGGGTGCACCGATCTCGGAGATCGATCCCCCATCCCCGCCCTTCTTCTTGAACCACTTGGTGAAGCTCATCTTTCCAGTAGCTTTCTTTCTCTCCCCTTTGTAAAGATGTGTGCGGTCGTGGGGATTTTCTTCCAATGCGTTTAGTTACGCTCGACTTGAAAAATTCTAAACGTTCAGCGGATTTGGATTTGTTGTTGTTTGCCTTTAGTTTTGTTACTGTTACTCAAGCCACCACTCTCGCTCTCGCTCTCTTTACCTTTGTCTCCCTCTCACTGAACCAGCCGTGAGTCATGAACACATTCACACGCACGCACACTCGTTCGTTCGGCCTGCGCTTTGGTGTATGCGTATGTGTGTGCGCGAGAGCTCTTCTTATCTCTTCTAACTGTAGCTGTAGTTTCTTTCGCTTTACGAAAACGCAGAAGATTTTCACTTTTTATTGCCCCACTCGCTTCGCTAATTATTAATTTAGCTACCTTAATTTATTCAGCAATCACCAGTTTTCAATTGCTCGACACACAAAGGCGGACGCGGACACGAACACGCACACATCTCGAAGTCGGACACAAAAGGAGTGGCCGTCGCAGTCTTGTTCTTCCACTGTCTCTTGTTGTTGTTCTTGTTGCGGGGCCGAAAACTCCCTTCCTGTTCTATTAGCCGTTCCAGGGTTCCATGACTATACGGCAGTTTATCGTTTATTTGGGGTTTTAACCGCTCGAGAATTAATTCCACTCTGGAATTAAAAACTTCTTTGGTTTTCCCCTCCGCTTAGCTGCAATCGCACTGCTGCACTCGGCCTGTTTTGCTGTCGCACTCGCACTAGAGTTGTGCCGATAGATGAGTTAAGTATACGATGTATATATATTTTTTACTAGTAAACACAATTGTTTTTTTCGCGGTCCTAAGCTATTTTTTACTTTACTGTTTTATGTTTTTTAATACGAGCCGAAATACAAGCGCGCGTGTGTAATTTCTTTTTCTTGCAGACTGAGTGTGACCGCAGCGCACACGTTCAGATATACCAACCATTTGTGATAACTTAGTAAAATATCGATTGATTAATCTGACTATCGACTATTAAGGGGATTCCCTGAACTGTTTGAATTTTAAAAAACCAGAGCTGTCACCTTATTTCATGACAAAGAATATTTTTAGTTCTTCCTACGTTATTAAATATTTCAGACATTGGCCGCGCTCAGCAGATCAACATGATAACGGATTACTGATCCATCAACGTCCAAAAAATTTTAAAACTGGTGACTGCTGCTTAAAAATTAAACAGGTATTTTTAATATTCGTTTTCTCTGGTCATAAAACTGTTGGAATGTTTTATCTTTCTTTACAAGGATCCTGGAAACTGTCGGTAGGTGCCGTGCCACATGGGGCATATAATTATTATTATCATCTCTTCATTATAAATGTCGCCCAAATTTGAGACCCAAACTGAGTTAACCCCAACGGCTTTGTCCCAACCACTGCTGCATATCCCCGATGCTCTTGCGGAAGTTCATTGCCGCCGTCACCGCTGTAAACAGTAATAAAATCAGAGAATCTGGAAGATAGGCAAAGAAAAACCCAACTGACAATGCTTAATTACGGACGACGGCGCAGCTTCTACAGAAATCATGTTCCAAGCTAGATAACGGCAATGATTGATAAAAAGCCAGCGAATATATCGACTTACGGATTCCAAAGGGTGGTTAGTTTCCACTCGCCTGCAGCGACATGCAAAAGCCTCGAGTCCCGATTTCGCTCCTCCTCCTGCTAGCTGGAATCCCTTTGATCCTGGTAGAAGCTGCAACCCCTCGGCAACCTGACAGTCGGATCGTCAATGGACGCGAAGCCAGGGAGGGTGAATTCCCTTACCAACTATCGCTCCGCCGCCAAACGGTTCACATCTGCGGCGCCTCAATCCTGGCCAGCAATTGGGCCATCACCGCCGCTCATTGCGTAGACGGGCATGAGCAGCAGCCGCGGGAGTTCACCCTTCGGCAGGGCAGCATCATGCGTTCCACGGGCGGAACTGTCCAGCCGGTTAAGGCCATCCACAAGCATCCGGCGTACGATCGAACGGACATGAACTACGACGTGGCCCTTTTGCGGACTTCGGACAAGGCACTCAGCTACCCACTTGGCAAAGTGGCTCCCATTCGTCTGCCCGCCGTGGGCGAGGCCATCTCGGACAGCGTGCCCGCGATCGTATCCGGATGGGGTCACATGAGCACCACCAATCCCATCCTGTCGCCGGTTCTTAAAAGCACAACGGTGCTGACGGTCAACCAGGAAAAGTGTCATAACGATCTGCGACGTCATGGAGGCGTCACCGAAGCGTAAGCACAAAAATATGTCATTTCCGGTCGTGATTAGATGATCAGTTTAAATTACGTTACATATCATTATGAACAAGAAATCAGAACTTTAATATGATGTTTTTTTTTGTATTCATTTGTGACGATTGATAACATCAATAGTTAATCATATTATGATGTTGAACTTGGATGCACTTTTATACTGTTTTATTTTTATTTCAAAATTATTTTTCAAGGGTTTTTGACAAAATAACAAACTTTAGTTGTATTCATTTATGCACTGGTAAAGTTTTTTAAAAAGAAAAAAAGTGAAATCATTAAAAATTTAGTGATTATACCCTTACGGACTGTTTTGCTCTATGTATCAGGCAAATTATTTATCAACTCAATTACCAATTTTCCAGAATGTTTTGCGCGGCTGCCAGAAACACAGACGCATGTCAAGGTGAGTGCAGATAAATTATTAATCTCCAGGTTGATAATGAAACACCGTACCTGTTCATACTTACAGGTGACAGCGGAGGTCCGATTAGCTCCCAAGGAACCCTTATCGGAATAGTGTCATGGGGAGTTGGCTGCGCAGATCCATACTATCCGGGAGTCTATACCCGCCTGGCCCATCCCACTATTCGCCGATGTATACGCCTGCTCACAAAATTGTAGACTTGTAGCTAATTAAATGGAATATATGAAAATATTACTGCATAAATTATTTGACAAAGCTCTTTTTAAATTAATTGGTTATTGGTAATTTAGTTGGTCAAATAGAATCAGTAGTATTCAAAAGCCCCGAATTTGTGTTGAAAATATTCCATCCCATCTTTGTAGACTTTTGAAAAAGCGCGCCTTCGCCTCCAGTTCCTCCACCGATAACAGAACAGCTGATTGGGGGTGAAAGACGATAACGATAAGTGATAAGTTCACGCACCGATAGACACTTGGCCAGGAAAATGTACGCTCCTCCTTCGCGAAATTTCAGTTGATTATTTGACGGTTAATAATAATAGTATTTATTAAATTAGTTGCGCCTTAACCCAATTGAAATCTAAGCCGCCCGGGAAAGAGGGAAAATTGCAACAATCGCCCAGGAGCAGTACATTATCCCAAAGATCCGACGAGGGAGTGGCAAGTGGAGCACTAGCGGGTGGCATTCTATTTAGGGTAAGTGGATCTGAGCATAGGCACAGACACAAGACACCTTAAATCAGCCTACTTATACGTATATACCCATATCTTTCCCCCACCTATGTAGTTTTCTGCTGAATGTCCTTCTGGCGTTGGTTGTGGCTGGCCCTAAAAATGATATACCAGCTGATGTGCTGCTCGGTGAGCCTGATCCTGTTCTGCTTCAACGTTTTCTGGCTCTTCTGCAACCTGGCCATCCCATGGTGCACTCTGACCCTGATCGTCGTCTGCATCGCCTCGAAATTCGTCAAGCTACAGCGGAGTCCCAACGAGAAGCGGCTCCTTAGCCTTCTAAGCACTCCGGAGGAATGGCCCAGTTACTGGCCCATCGCCAACCGGGCGGCCGGCTTCGATGCACCCGAGAACTCCAAGGCAGCGATTAAGAAGGTGGGTGACGTCACTTGCCGGTGGTTGGCAGCACAAAAATCAATAACCATCCCCTTTTCCACCCCCGTAAAACAGTGCCTCGCACGTGGATATCGGAACGTGCTTCTCGATGCCGGTCTCACGTCCTGCGGCGAAATTGTCGTGGCCAACCCCAAAAAGATAAATGTGGCCCAACAGCCGCTGGCGGAGTTGCAAAAGCTAAACATCGCGGAGCAGCATCCCATGGGGTGAGCCAATCAATCAACTGGAAATGCGCTTAAATCTTGAATCATCTAAACATGTCATTGCACACAGGTCGCAGTACGAGGCGGAATCGGTGGCCTCCCTGAGGCAATTATCGGACTTCCTGGAAGCAGAGGCCGCCCAGACCACAGTGTTTCTACGACTGCACGACAACAGCGCCAGGATGATTGACCAGTTGCAGAAGTTTATGACCGCCGACGAGACATTCACTCAGCGCACAGTTGTCATTAGTCGCTCACCACTGGCCATTTACCAGGTGGGCGAGAGTCATTTAATGACCCCCTTCCAAGAACTAAACATCTGGGTTTTCTTTTAGCTCCGGAAGCTGAAGCCAGAAATCATTTGCGGTCTATGGCACGAAACCTACTTGTCACTTGCCATCCTCAAATCCTCTACACTTATTACCTCAATCTATGGCGCTGTCTTGCGCAACATCATTGTTCCCGTGATCGGAATAAGCGTGGTCTTTCTCAGCAAAGATGAGATTAACTTGTAAGTCATCATATTACAACTTTTTGGGGTTTAAGCCATTATCACTATTTTACTTTTCAGCCACATTGCCGATCTGTGGCGCAACGTTGGTGTCCGTCCAATAGTCTATATGGTGAACTCACCCAACGAGAAACGCTATTTCCAAAAGACTATGAAAATCCAGTATCTAACAGACTCGCTGCGATCAGAACCGCACCTCCTTATGAAGGCCTAAGCAGATCTTGAGGATTTAAACGAACAAAAACGACTTAGATCGACGCACACAATTACACAAACTGTTTGCATTTAGCTGGCAGAGCTTAGCCTTTAAGAATAACGTATGTACGCATGTGTTTTTTGTAGAAGCTTTAGAAAGTATTATCCCAAGTTTACCAGCACCAGTGAGATCGAAGATATAATTAAGATAAGTTGTGTGCTTTACTTTTGGTTAGCTAAAGTTTTGTATTATTTTTATCGACGTCCTGATTTATTTATTTTGTTATTTATGAATTTAATTTGTTTACCGATTATACTGCTTTATTTCATACGAAAATGTTCTCAAAGTGCGTATAGGCTTACTCGATGTACAATATTTCTCAACTTAAGTACTCAACACAACCGTACGCCTTATATGGCGTATGATTTTTGGAAGTGCTATATATATACACATACACCCAGCTTTTCTATGATTCCCCTTGTTACCCAAATCCCGAAAGTACTCAATCAAAAACCCAAAAATGTTTACCAGCATTAGATATACGTCTATACCAAAAAATTACATTTTATTATGATGATAATAGGTAATAAAGATGATTGCAACGATTGATTTAAACCGATTTATCTGTCTTTTCAATAATAAGCTTTAATGGTTTACGTTTCGAATCTTTATTATTTTGGGGATGTTTGATAGTGTCTTAAAATGTAAACTATATGTATTAATAATGTTTAATGCCTTAACTCTATTAAGGTTAGTTTTCTTTCTGAGCGAGGGGAGCCATCCAAAATATATCCCACCGAAATGGGGGATTAACAACAGAACTTAAATGTTATGGTGCCTTGATTAATTGATAAATGCAAACTTTTTATACAGAAGTTAATAACGTAGGTTAAAAAATGCAGAATTAAAAAATAACCAAAAAATTATACAAAGTAATTCAAGCTTTAAGATGAAATATATAGATATTACTTCCGGCGTGATCGAGTTGCCCGCTTTGGTGCATCCTCACTTGTTGAGACCTCCGGCGCTGCCTCGAAGTGCACCTTCCTGCCTCGTCCAGCTCGCCCTGTCGCCGCGGACGTGGAGGCGGCGTCCTGGACTTGGGTATCCTCGACTGGCTGCTCCGGCTCTGCTGCCTTGGCGCCTCGGGCTCGACTGCGGGCAGCGGGCTTCTTGACCGGCTCCTCCTCCTGGGTAGCTGGAGGCTCTCCCAAAGGAGTTTTGGAACGTGCTCTACCCCGCGCCTTCTTAACGGGCGGATGCTCCTCCGGTTCCACCTCAACTTTGGCCTTGCGAGCAGTGGCCCGTGCGGTCTTTTTTACCGGCTTAACGTCCGCATCCTCCGATTCGCTGTGTTCGATCTTTCGACGAGTGCCACGCCCCTTAGCCGCGGGCGCAGGCTCTTCTTCCGGTGCTGACGTTACTGGTGGCACCTCAGGAGTCGCCTTCTTGGCAGGAGGCTCCTCGTCCTCGACCGCCTTGCCCTTGGTCCTCTTTGGAGTTGCCGGACGCGGCGAGGAATCTACAATCAATTCCAGAGCCTTTGCAGTCAGGTTGCGTACCCGGCGACCCCGGGACGATGTGGGCTTGTCGTCGTCCGGCGCCTCCGTGTAGTTCTTGCGCGGCAGATTCCGTCCCTCCCGTCGCTGCGAGGTCGTGGGCTCTGGCAGGACCACCGTGTTGTCGGGAGTGGCTTCTACCTCCACGGGCGGTTGTTTGGTTACCGGAGTAGCAGTAACTGCATCCGGCTCTGGAGCCTTGTTGGCCAGCGCCTTGCTTGCCGCTGGCTTGCGAGCCCGTCGCAGTGCGGAGTGTGGTTTATCATCGTCTGGTGGCTCCTCGTAGTTTTTACGCGGTAGGTTGCGGCCTCTCGGCGCCGTGGAGTAAGCTCTTCCCCATCGCCAGTCTTTGTCGGGGAGCCAGAGGTGACTACGAGCGCCGAAACACTGTCCGTCGGCAGGTCCTGTAAATCGATCTGCTTCTTTTCCTCGTCCTCGTGGGTCTCGTCTTTGCGACCGCGACGAGTTGTCGCCTTCTTTGCGACTGGCGTTCCCTCATCGACACTCGCTGAGGCTTTACGGACACGCCGTGCTGGTGGTTTCTTCTCCGGTGCGGCCGCTTGTGTCGCCTCCACATCTGCACTTGGCTTCCTACCGCGCTGCGTTGTCTTCGCTGTTGGTGGTTCCGCGTCCACGGTTTGAGACTCTGAAGGGGTTTCCTCCTTGTGTTCCGGCTCCAAGGACGCCCTGCGTCCACGAAGCTTTGTCTTGCGCTCCGTTAGATCTATAGTTGTTAGGGCCTCATCTTCGGTGGCCTTGCGCCCACGCCTGCGTGAGTGAGTGGGAATCTCTTCCGATTCCTCGGCCGAGTTCGTTTTTATCGGCACCTCAATCGTCTCTGCCGTGGGCTTGCGACCGCGACGCCGGGTCTTGTGCTCCTCCTCTTCCTTTGGCGGTGGCTTAATTGGTGACGGTTCGGGTACTGAAACCGGCTCGGCTGCCTCTTCGATCTGCTGAAGATGCTCATCCTCGCTGGACCCAACGACCTCAACAGTTTCAGCCGAAGCCTTGCGTACATTGCGCCTGGTCTTTTTCTCTGGCTCAACAACCTGCAATGGCGGGTCCGGCTTTTCGTCAGCAATCATTGGTTTATCATGCCCTGCTGGCGTTCTACCCCTTCGCTTGGGTTTTCTACAACTTCTTGGGCTACATGATCAATGTCCACAGAAGGCTTGCGGCCCCGACGCTTGGGTCGTTCAACGTGATCATCCTTAGCTGGTTCCTGGGCACTTGCTGGCTTAAATTCTGCTGACTTGCGGGACGGCTGGGGTTTACTTTGGTTGTCTGAACTTAACTGACCTTCTTGAACGGAAGCAACCACCTCCTGGGTGTCATTAGGAGCGGCGTTTTCTACCACCTCTGCTGAAAGTTTGCGTCCCCTCCGCCTTGGTTTCTCCTCGCGGGTTTTACCAGACTCTTTGGACCCCTCACCTTGCTTTTCAATAGTTTGGTCCTCTGATTTGTGCTTCTTGTCTGGTACACTGCTTACGTCTTCAGCTGATGCCTTGCGTGCCCTCCTACTTGTCTTAGCTGGGTGGGGATTGGGTTCAGACTCAGCCGTTGTTTCTTGTTCTTCCTTGGATACATTTAAAGCCTCAATGGGTACATGCTCTTGAGGCGCTCCTGCTCAGAATGATCTGAAACATTTTGAATGAATTGCGGAGTCTCGTCTCTTTAACTGTTTCTGGAATATCTTCTCGCTTTTCCATTTTGTCCGATGACGTTTCCGTTTCTTTTGCAGATGCCTTCCGACCTCGTCTTTTTGGTTTTTCTATGATGCTCTCCTTCTGGTTGGTATTGTCCTCGTCCTTTGACTCCAACTTCTGCTCAACATCGGACTCTGTTTCCTTTACCTCATCCGACGTAAGCCCATGTTCTCGATTCTGAATTCCATCTTCCTTGACAGCCTCTAGAACATCTTCAGCCTTTTCTTTCTTGTCCGACGTGGTTTCCGTTTCTTTTGTAGGAGCCTTTCGTCCTCGTCTTTTAGGCTTTTCTACGGTTTTCTCTTTCTGGATTGTATCTTTATCAAGTGGCTTGCTTTCCTCCATTGATGAAGTTGAAGGTACGGCGGGTGCGGGCTCTTCAGGATCCTCTTGCTTGGGGAAATTCAAATCATCGCCTTTAGCTTCATTGATGGCTTCTAGAACTTCTTCCGGCTTCTCTTAGGTTCCAATATAGTATCAGTTTCCTTGCAGATGCCTTCCTTCCACGTCTCTTAGGTTTCTCTGTGGTGATCTCCCTCTGATTAGAATCCTCCTCTGCCTTTGACTCTTTCTTTTCCTCAACTCCAGACTCCGTCTCTTCCTCTATGATGGGTTGCAGAGCTTCTTCTGCCTTTAGGGCTTCTTCTTCCAGTATTCTTCAATGTGTTCTGTGCCATGGTTTCAATATCTTCTACTGAAGGTGTACGTTTTCGTCCCCTTCTTTTCTCAGTGATGGATTCTGGTTTGTCATCATCTACATCCACTGATGGTTTTCTGGCTCGTCCCCTGAGCTTAATGTGGGCATCATCCGCATACTTATTATCCAGGGCACGTTCTTCTATTTCCGAAACATCAGATGACGGTTTTCGTGCCATCCTCTTGGGTCTTTCAGATACGGCAGCTTCTGCTGGTTTATCAGTGGACGCTGATCCCTTCCTAGTCGTTCGTTTTACTGGCTTAGATTTTCCTTCATCCGGTGAAGTTTCTTCTGGCTAGATGGCTTGCGAGCTATTTCGTTGACTCTTCTGAAATGGCGGTTTCCGAAATTGGCTTTTCTGGTTCATTATTTTTAACCTCGATCTTTCTGTTGAAATATTATGTACAAACTCCTCACTGATCCTCAGAATTGTTTTGACATTGTTTGGTATCATCGGTGGAGCTCGAAGAATCCTCAGCGAGCACAACTGTAGAAGTGGGCTTGTCAATGTCGCTAGGTTTGACATTTCTTCAGAATCGCATTTTTCTTTAGCTGTTAAGTCTTCAGCTGCTGGGCTGTCGTGTATTTCATGGATAGTATCTGGTTCTGGTATATTATTCAAAGCAGCTTCATCATCACTCTTTTTAGTGGCGAAAACAGATTCTTCAACAGACGCTGATTTAATAGTTTCTACTTGGGCTAGCTCATCGGATGACTGAGGCTCTTCAGAAACAGAAGTACTTGACGTTGATACAGTAGATTCTTCTTGAGGTGTAACTGAAGTGGCGTCCGCTGTTTCAGGTCCCTGGGCGCTAGAACTTGAATCATCTATTGTAATGACATCATACTTTTCGGAAGCTGCATCTTCGGGCCTAGGCTCATCGAGCTTATCTTGTTCTTCGGTATTAGGAATAACCATACTTTTATGCTCTGATATGAATTCAACTTCTTCTTCATCGTCCTTTTCTTCACTTGCAGAATCCAAGTCGATTATTGCCTCGTCTTCGACAGTCTTTTGAACCTCCTCGCTTGATACATTTTGGCTTTCAGATACGGATTTTGAGACGTCAGCTTTTTCTTTTCAACTTCCTGTACTTTAGTTGGGGCTTTGTGAGCTTCAGCTATTGAATCAGATAACTCTTGAAGCTGAACTTTAGGTTCGTCTTCAGATTTAGGTGCACAAATGTCCTGTGTTACTTTTTGGGAGGATGAAGCCTCAAATATATCTGTAGTTTCTGAACCATTGGAGCTTGATGCATTCAGTACTATTACTTGTGCAGAAATGGTGTCTATTGAGATATCCTTAGGCTGTTTTATATCTATTTCACTTTTGTTAGATTCCAAATTCTGCGCTGCAAGGACTTCAGTATTTAAAGATGAAGTATCTAAACTGTTTTCTTGTTCGGAGGTATCGTTTGCAATAAAATTTTAGAGCCTTCAGTATCCAATGAAATATTACTATCAATGAACTTGAGCTGGGCGTCCGACTTCTCTGTCAAATTAGGTTTAACAATTTCGGAAGTTATCTCCGGTTCCACTGCCTTAACTTCTTCATCACTGGAAGATGTCGTATCCATTGTCGCTTCAACAGCCTCACCCGGTTCTGTCTGTTTGTCGTCTGTTCCCATTTGATTCTTTGTTAAAGTTAGTTTTGATTGGGCGAGACTCGATGTTTCCGCCAAAATGGAAACATCCCTTGGCTGATCACTGACAGATTCTTCAAAAATGTTGGACCGTTCAACAATGCTCGAGGCATCCAACTGAATCACCTCATCTTCAACTCCATTTTGATTTAATGACTCTTCAGACACACATTTTACTGATTTTTTTTCAATCGTATCCTTTGCCTGTTTTATGTGGTCCTTATGAATATAATCAGCGATGGCGCCTTTAATCATAGAACTTTCATCCAGTTGTGTGTGCTCAACAATGCTAGAGGCATCCAACTGAATTACCTCGTCGTCGAGTTCGTTTTGATTATATTCCTTCTTAGATTCGTCTTTGTCCTGCTCCTTATCTTCCTTTGTTTTGTCGAATGCAGATGACTCTTTTGGTTGATGAGTCTCGCAATCTTCAATAAATGAAATCCCATCTTGATTCTCCGTGGCTTCCTTCTTATCCACAGTAGTGCCTTCCCTCGTTATGTCCAAGTTGATATCATCTTTGGAAAGATCAGTGCCGGATTCTTTAATAACTGAACTTTCATCTAGTGTATTTTGCTCTATAATGCTCGATGCATCCAACTGAATAACCTCATGGTCAATTTCGTGACCAGAGGACTTTGGCAATGGGCATTCGTCAGCTATTTCTGTATCTGCAGTCGAATCTTCCTCAGTTTTATCGAAAGCAGATGATTCCTCCAAAATAGATCGTTTTTTATTCTGATCAGTCACGGGTGTTTTAATTTGTGGACTTTCTTCCAGTGGAGCATCATAAGGACCGTTTTGATTTAATTTTCCAGCGTCCTCTTTATCCGCAGCCTTAACTTCTTCTGATGATTCCTTCGAGGCAGAAACTTCATCCTGAGGAGCCGACTTGATACCTTCTTCATCTGGAGAGACCTTAGGAGAATCCTGGCCAGATATATTCTGATTTTCGGATGATCTTACATTTGTGGATGTATCCAACGAAGCGGCAATACTTGACAAATCCTTGTTTGTATCCGTTCGTGACGATTTTTCATTGGCGAGTTCCTCTTTCTTAGAAGATTGATTAGCAGAACAGGTGGCATCCGTTAAAGTATCTACTTCCAGCGCTTCAAACGCATCTTTATTTTTCTCAGGAACTTTGCCGTCTGTAGGTGGTGATGGACCCCTCCTTTGGATCTACATCTTTAGAATTTTCGATCTCAACTGCTGCGCTGAAGGAAGTTTCTTTCTTATCTGCATGTAAATCGTCCAAAGATTCTTCGTCCTTGTTTTCGCCTTCAGAATCAGAGGAAATAATTACAGATTCGTCTTGAGTAGTCTGTTGATCCTCAAATTGATCCATATCGATAGCAGAGACCTCATCTACAGCCATGGTTATGCTCGTTTCACCAATGTCTTCCGAATCGAGGTTACTTATATGATCTTGAGGAACATTTTGGCTTGTGGCACTTTCAAATGCATGTGGCTCAATTTCTTGTTCGGTTTCCTCTGAAACTTCTTCGGCAAGTGATGATTCAATGACTAGTTGGTCAGTTGTAGGCACCTCGTTAGGTTTGACCTCTTTTGAAAGTTCGTCGGCAGATGATGTTTCGATGGCTGTTTGATTAGTGGCCTCTTCAGGTTTGGTTTCTTCTGGAAGTTCTTTCGCAGGAGATATTTTGATAACTTCCTGTTTGGCGTCACCATAAGGGGGCACCTCATCTGTTTTATTTTCCTTGGAGAGTTCTTTAGAAGGCGATGTTTCGATGAAGTGTTGATTAGATTCTGCATCAGTAGACATCTCATTAGGCTTGGCTTCTTCTGGAAGTTCCTCGGCAGTTTCACCATCAGCCGGCACCTCATTTGCATCTGGTTTATCTTCTTCGGTCGTTTGTACTGTTTCTTCGGAAGGTACTGTTTCGACGACACGTTGAGTAGATTGGTATCAATGGGTTCAGCTTCTTCTAAAAGTTCCTCAGAAAGTGAGGTTTCAATGAATTCTTGATTAGTTTGCTCTTCAGGTTTGGTTTCTTCTGGCAGTGTTTTCGCAGGAGTTGTTTCGATAACTTCCTGATCAGCTTCACCATCTTTGGGCACCTCATCAAGTTTGCTCATCTCGAAAAGTTGTTCGGAAGGTGATGTTTCAATGACACCTTTATCTGATTCAGCGTCAGTGGTCACTTCTTTTGACTCGGCTTCTTCTTCGAGTTCCTCGCCGGGTGATGTTTTGATGACTTCTTGATCAGATTCTCCATCAGTGGGGACCTCATTAAGTTTGTTTTCCTCGAAAAGTTCGGAAGATGATGTTTGGAATACAAGCTTACTGGATTCTGCCTCGGTGGACACCTCGTCAGACTTTGCTTCCTCGATAATTTCCATGGCTTTTTGATCTGATTCACCATCAGTGCGCACATCATCTGTTTGGTTTTCTGCGGAAAGTTTTTCGGAAGGTGATGTTTCGCTGACTATTTGATTATTTTTATCATCAATGGGGTCATCCTGTTTGGTTTCCTCTGGAAGTTCATTGGCTGGTGATGTATTAATGACTTCTTGATCAGTTTCTCCATCAATGGGGATCTCATCGGGTTTGTTTTCCACAATAAGTGGTTCGGAAGGTGTTGTTTCGTTGACTGGTGGATCAGATTCTACTCCAGTGGACAATTCCATAGATGGTTGAGCAGTTTCACAATCAGTGGGCACCACATCAGATTTGCTTTCTTCTGATACATCTTTAGAAGGCGAGGTTTCGATCGGTGGTTGATTTGTTTCAGCCTCAGAAGTCTTTTCAAGTTCACGCTTTTCGGCAGGTGATGTATCGATGGCTGATTGGTCTAAATGAGGAATACCTTCTTTTGAAACTTTTTTCGCTGAAACTTCTGGTGCCTCGACATCGCCAAGATTCGTCGAGTCTAAATTGTCTGGCTTCAGATCCACGTTAGGTATAATCTTCTCCGCGCTTGAGTTGAGGACATTGGCAGTATTGACCGAACAATCTGCAGTTGAGTCCAGAGGAAATATTTCGGACTCTATGATCGTTAATTCGACCACAGGGGCTCATTATTTTCTTCAACTGGTGATTCCTCATCCTTTGAAATATCTAGTTTAATTTGCAGATAATTCTCGTCCTTAATTTTGTCGTCATGATGATTTGTTTCACTTGTACTGCCTTCTATTGTGGTATCCTCCACTTCTATCAGAGATATTTCTGTTATAGAATCCTTTTCATTTTTACTTGTTGACTCTGCAGGCAAATCAGTAGATTCCTCAAGCTTATAGGCAATAGATGGTTCCTCGACACAAGTAGATTTTTTCGGAGTGACTGCCGATTCCTCTGGCTCCTCCTCATCATCACTAAATACCAGAGGCTCGGTAAGGCCAACGTTTGAGTCTGTATCGGAGCGATCCTCAATATTATCCGTGGGTTGGATAGTTCGGCCGAAGCCTTCGTCTCATCCACAGTAACGTCGCAGGACTCCACGCCCGACACTATCAGAGCTTCGGAGAACACTGAGTCCGAGGTCTGGTCCAACAATTGTATGCCGCTCATCTCGTTCGGGTTAGGTGAGGTCGTCCTGGAACCAGTTTCTGTAATTGCGCTTAGATTAAGATCGGCCTGCAAGGCAGCCTTGTATGTTGTGCTGGTGAGAGGATCCTTGAGCGAAGTGACCCCAGGGGCTTTATGAGAGATACTCATTAGTGCCTCTGATGATACGGATTCGTTTTGCTTTGAAGAACCCAAGGGATCAACACCAGTCGTCGTGCTGAGTGCAGTCACATTTATCTCGGTTTCCGTGTCCTCCAAGTTGGCCCCTGTTGTTTCGGGGACATCGTCGAATATCTTGTCTAGATGCAACGTGGTATTCGTCATGTTCAAATCGTATTCGGTGGTCGCCGCCAAGGAACCCTCACGAGACTTCAATACCGCACTAGCTGGCTCATTTGGCACCATTATATTCCTGGCGCTGGGCGTCTTTAAAATTCCGTCCAGTCCTTTCCTTGTTGCGCGCGAGCCAGTGTCGAGTTCCTACTCTTGGGGTGAGGAGTGCTACCAACAGATGTTTCCAACAACTCTGCCATGTTGCCCAAAATTGGTGATGCAGGAACCTTCGGTGTGCGCATCATTTCTCTCAGTCCTTTGAAGCGGGGGGTGCTGCAGTTTTTGGGAGTTTTTAACAAATCCCTCAGGCCATGGTAATCCACTTTGTCAACTTCGTCGTCTGGCAGTTCGTTGCCATAATTTCCGTCGTCAGCATAGCAGACTTTTCTTCTGTAACAAATGTTATTTTAATAAAATGTTTTTTCCCTTCGAATGCAAGAAAATTTCGGCAACAAATGTTACAAAATAAATATACTAAAATATGAATAAATAAATTGTTAAATATTTGTATAAATACGGAATTTTCTTGTGTAGTATAGTAAGATTATATTGACTTAGCTCACCATCTTCTTGGCCAACTTCTTCCAAAATGACTCCCATATCGCCAACAGATTCGTCCACTTGATGTTCCCGCTTCGGCGTGTTCAGCAGAAGCTTCGACTGTCGCGTTGGTGTGGACATTTCCTGCGTGAGTCGTCGCTTGCGTCGTGGAGTACCCACATCGCACTGCCTTTCCACCGCAGAGCATGAAGCGCGGCGGGAGCGCTTTTGTTGTCCTTCGGCACCTCCTTTTTGGCAGCTTCCATCGATGATCTGCGAGTGCTCCTTCGCGGTGTTGTGGCCACTGTCCTCTGGTCAACAGAGAGGCGGCGCAAACTCCTTCGAAGTACGGGGGTATCTACATTTGGTGTTTGTTCATTCATCTTTGTTTTGTCTCGCCGTTTCTATTAAGCAGATATTGAGTATTTTCTTTGTAAAAACGATGTTTTACACCTACCAATTGAAGTGGATTCAGCAGCTTTACTTTCCGATGGCACCTCCTCGCAAATGTTGTCCTCAATTACGCTTTCAGGAGTAGCTGAAATGATTTTAAAGAAGTCTTTAGCTTTGTTTAAAAGTGTTTTAAATATAATTACCATTATCGCTTTCCTTGGAATATTCGCATGGACCTCCTCACAAATGCTATCCTCGATAATCGGGTCCTCACTTTTTTCATTGACAGGAAAGCTCACAGTTTCACTTTGTTTATTGTCTTGAAGACTTGTATTCGATAGATTTTTAGTCTCTTCCTGATCTTTAACAGTTTCTAAGTCTGTTTCGGCACAAGGTTCTAGTTTATTTATATTCCCCTCGAATGTAACATCTGGCTCAGAATTCACCTTGTCGTCTGTAGAATTTAAATCAGTTTCCTTTTATTGCTGGACTGATTGAACCGATTTTTTGTTTGATAAATACAGGTTCCTTTGATTTACTGAGCGGGAGGCTCTTCTCGAATACAGACTCAGCTGGAAAGATGCATCACCCTCATCTTCTCCTGTTATAAAAGCAGCCATCGCTTCGATTACCGCCCCTGCAGCACTCTTTTCCTTTCCTTGGGTGTCATCCATGATAGTGAAGGTGCGGCTCAACTCGTCCTTTGAGTCGTCATGTTTCTCCGGAGTAGAGCTCTTGATTTGCGAGGCATTAAATGTTTTTCTCGGACATGGCGATGATGCTTGGGTGATCCCGGCATAGGGGATCCGCTTTTCGGCGAGTTCAGCGACCGACGTGCCTTGGCCACCAGCTTGTTGCTCTTGTCAACGCCGGGACTGCGCTTGGCGGCCGCAAAGGACTTTCTGAGCTGGGATACCTTGTTTTCCCTGGGAGATTCCATCAGCGATATCCGCTTCCGTGGCGAGGTCTTAGGCGCTTTGCCTCTCGGCTGGTCCTCGGGTCGGTGGACTGGTGTCCGTCTGTGCGGATGGAATGGCAAACGACGCGGAGTGGTCAGGCACTGGCGGCGAGCATCCAACAGTGATGCCCGTTTGGTGGTGGCCACAGGAGTTGTCTTATCTGTCTGGTTGGCGGCGATCTGCTTCTTGGTACTGGTCAGCAGTGCCCGTTTCATTAGGGACTGGGGCGTTCGCTTAGGTGTGGCGCCTGCGGTGCCAGCCGGTCGTTGAGGAGTTTTGTACCTATGTGAGGGGCCTGGTGAGGGTGGCGTTTCGGAGTTGGTGATGTCAATAACCAGGGCGATGCATCGGATGATTCGTCCGTGCTGTCCACACTGATGGGCGTCTGTTTTGGTGTGGGCGTTTGCTTGGTGTTGGTCGTAGCTTCGAGGGGGTGGTCAAGTCGATCAAGAACATGGACGACGCACGCTTTACCTTCGTCGAAGTGGATGGCGTGCCGAAATCCATCAGATCCCGGCTGCAACTGTCTTCGTTCAGCTCCGAGAGCACACCGCCTTTCGGGGTGCTGTACACACTCTTGGGCGTGGAAATGGTCACCGAAGTCGAAGTGGAAGCCGCGTGGGCCGGTTTGCGCACACATGTGAAGGACTTCTCCACCTTGACGCCCGTCTCGCGCGGCGAGAAAGAGGTGATGACCACGTCCGAGAGGGCGCACAATCTCAGCAGCTTCTGGTGGCTACCTGGAGGCGTTGCGGTGTTCTCCTTGTTCTGCGTGGCCTCCAGAAGATCTACTTTGGGCGTCTCGCATGTTGTCGTCTCTGCGCTGGGTGGAGGTGAATATTCAGGGCGTCCTCCTCCAAGTGGGACTCACTTGATCGCGCGACTCTATAGAAGTATTGCCCTCGTCATCCGAATTGATGCTGTAGTGAAAACTGAAAAAGGAATTGGGAAAGATAAGTTTTATGGGGACCATTAACAGGCAGGCAACACATGCTGGCAGCAGGGTTTTTTCTTTTCCTATTGTTGTAGCTCGAAGACATTTTAGGGGTTGGCCAGGTAGTCGGTCAGGCGTCTGCCTGCTGATTTTCACTTACTTGTGAACCGTCAAGCGTTTTTCGGTGTGCAGTCGATGCGATTGCTAAGGCAAATAGAAAAATTAGGGATCACATGTAGGACTTGAAGGACTGTACTTGGTGGCAGAGATTGTGGGTACTTACCTTTAGCGAGGGGCAGGAGTTCGAGGCCTGCTCATTGGGCGATAGGCGCTCTGGGGTGCACGGTGCATCCTGCGCTTCGGAGGACTTGGGGAACTCCCAGGTGTAGACTTTGTCCCGAATGGTGATCTTTCCCCCATGGAGCAGCGGACGCTTGCCGTGGATGACCACATCGTTGAGGTGGATGGGGTCCTCGCTGGACTTGTTGTAGATTATGACCTAGGTGACGAAATCGCGGGACGTTTAGGCCGGCTGTTTGGGTCTCACTTCAATACAAACTCACCCTGCCGAAGGCGTCACAGTTTATTTCGCAAATCAGGCGCTCCTCCTGCGGCCCCTCCAGGATGAGGTCGCAGTTGTAGTAGGAGCCCACCTGGAAGGTGCGTCCCTTGGCTGCCAGCACCACGGTCTCGCCATTTTCGTCTTCGTAGCGCAGCCTAGCGCCTTCAAGCGACATTTTCCGAGCGGCGTCTCAAATGCGGCTTGGGTGCGGGGAAAACGAATACCGAAGCGAATGCAATGAAAAGCCGCACAGTTATTGGGAAATCTCGGACACTGCGGTTACAATTAAACACTTCATCCACGATCTATACACTGATTTCTATCACACTCTTCCATTAATCGCCTTTTTAACGGCCAACATCACGAGATTGCCGCAGTCAGTTAATTGTAGCGAAAACTCTGTGCAGGAATTTTTTTTGCAATGGACGCGCAAGTCATGCCAACCCTGTTCGAATGCGCCGGCTTATGCGTTACGTTTGAATTTAAGGGCGCGGGAGCTGGCAACTTGGTTTCGGTAAAGGTGGGTTTCAGTTAATGGTTATAAGGGTGGTAATTGTAAACATGATTATGTTAATAACTCCTTGTATGCTCACATGATATTTTAATCACATTGGAAAACGAATTCAGATATTTTTAGTTGTCAACAATAAATGCAGCCCTGGCAGGGCAAGCCGGTCTAGCAGTGTTGTAAAGCAGCAGGCACAGTACAGTTAGAAGCAGCGAAAAGAGCGCGAAACACAAATTCTCAGAAACAAAAGTTGTTTATGTATTTACAAAAATAGGTAAAAGTTGACGTGTTATTAAATAAAAATTAATTAAAGCGAGTGCCCCATCACCATATTCATAATGCTAGCATTGGTTCTGGGCTTGTAAATATGTCTATTTCTGTATTGTGAAGTCTTAATATGTATTATTTATTAAATTGAATATTGACTCGAAACATTTTTTTTTGTATAAAACTATGCTCAAAATGGGTACGTTACAAAGCTTGTACGGCGAAACCATGTCAGAAAATATCGAATGTACCTCACTGACCTGACCTATCGATAGAACTTGCAAGGTGCAAGTGCCATCCCTAGACTAGAGCCGGAATAAAACAAAAATTCGCAACAAAAGGCGAGGAAATTGCAAAAAGTACATAAACAATGGACTCCGACGCAGCACAGAAGACCTGGGAGCTGGAGAACAACATCCAGACGTTACCCAGCTGCGATGAAATCTTCCGCTACGACGCGGAGCAGCAGCGCCAGATCATCGACGCAAAGCCCTGGGAGAAGGATCCGCACTTCTTCAAGGACATCAAGATCTCGGCTCTGGCTCTCCTGAAGATGGTGATGCACGCCCGCTCGGGTGGCACACTGGAGGTGATGGGCCTGATGCTGGGCAAGGTGGAGGACAACACAATGGTTAGTCGTCGGTTGTGGGAGATGTGGAGTTTTCCAACTTAAGGACACTTTACTTCCTTGCAGATCGTGATGGATGCATTTGCACTGCCAGTGAGGGAACTGAGACCCGGGTGAATGCCCAGGCCCAAGCCTACGAGTACATGACAGCCTACATGGAGGCAGCCAAGGAGGTGGGACGCATGGAACACGCCGTGGGCTGGTACCACAGCCATCCCGGCTACGGCTGCTGGCTGTCCGGCATCGATGTGTCAACCCAGATGCTCAATCAGACGTACCAGGAGCCCTTCGTAGCATTGTGGTCGATCCAGTGCGCACTGTCTCCGCTGGCAAGGTCTGCCTGGGTGCATTCCGTACCTATCCAAAGGGTTATAAGCCACCGAATGAGGAGCCCTCGGAGTACCAGACCATCCCGCTGAACAAGATCGAGGACTTTGGTGTTCACTGCAAGCAGTACTATCCCCTGGAGATTAGCTACTTCAAGTCGGCACTCGACCGCAAGCTGCTCGACTCCCTGTGGAACAAGTACTGGGTTAACACGCTGGGCAGCTCGGGTTTGCTAACCAACACAGAGTACACCACCGGACAGATCATGGACCTTTCCGAGAAGCTGGAGCAGAGTGAGAACTTCTTAGGTCGCGGTACATAACGAGTCTAGGTGAGAATGGTGCATTTAACTAATAGTTTTGCCATTAACAGGAACCGATGTCAACGAGAAGCGCTCCGAGGACAAGCTGTCCAAGGCCACGCGAGACTGCAGCCGCTCAACCATTGAACTGATACACGGCTTGATGGCTCAGATCGTTAAGGATCAACTCTTCAACAAGGTCGGACTGGGCAAATAGATCAAGACTTAAGATATTGCATATTCCTATGAATTTTAAACAAACTGGATTTTCTATGCGAACAGGCGATTTATGAGCCCTTTTCCTGGGGAATATTTTAAGTAAGTCAAGCTTATCCAAAATAAACATAGAGGCGCCTCTTAGGCGGATATAAATCTGAAAGCCGTATTTACTTAATGAGGAATGTTGACCCTTTTTTATTACTTCTTTCTTTTTTCAATTGAATACATTAATATTATTTACTATATCTAAAAATATATTACCTAAAGAATGGTAATCTTTTAAAAAAATATACAAATTCGGTGGTCGAAATGAGAATGAAGTCATATAAAAGTATACAGATAAATATAAATCTTCGTAATTCCTTAGAAATAATTACACTTGGTAAACACAGCATTCTCACAATCCAATTTCTGAAAACATCAATTAAAAGACGCCGGATAAATATATATCTTTTTAAGTGGTTTAGAATTTAGTAAATCGAGACGCCATCAAAGGAGCATCTGAATGCTTTCGATTCGAATTCGGCTTAAATTGGTTGGCGATTTTTTCGACGTAAATGTTACAAAGTCTGGTTATCGTCGTGTGGTGACCGCAACTTCTTCCTTATCATCAATCAAATGGTTTCATAATTTCCATCGTTTGGCGTATTTTACGTCTTTTATTTCTCGATTGCGTGTCTCGCGATGGGCTGGTGGATATCCTAGTAGACCCAAAGTCTACGTCTACCCCAGGGATTATAAGCTACAAGTGAGATGTCAACGCCCTTCCAGCACGTGGCCCAATCTAATTGGACAAGCAAGCGGGTGTTGAAGAAGAGCACTAATTAAATACGTTGTCACGTTTATGGCTGTTGTGAAGTACCAAAAAAACGGGGGTGCTAATGCAAATACCAGTCCTTCCTAACCGTTATCATCACTTCCGCCAGGAATGCCCATTAAAATGTCAACATTTATGTTTGTGCGTCCAAGATTTATACTGTGGCATTTTTAATCCTCTTAAACGTAAATGTAAATTGTGGCATATTACAAGCAAAAAAATCCCCACATCAACAGGAAAATAATCAAAATAACAAGAATTTGTAACGTACTTGGGGGAAGGCCACAGAAACCTTTATAAAGATTTACGTGACAAACTCTACGGGCTATCCGTTTGTGCGTGTACGTTATTCATGTAAAAGCAATAAAACTTTCATTTTTTTATGTTGTATCGAAAAGTAACAGTCAATTGGCATCAACAAGGAGCAATGACATGAAATGTAACACTACCGACGGGGGCTAAACCCTCCACTTAGCAAATGGGGGAGGAGGAGTCTAAACGATTGCCGAGGGACTATAAAAGTCGGGGCCACAAACGACAGGCGCTTCATTCGCGTCCTGGATGCGAGCAGCGAAGCTTGGAATTTACGATACACAAAGTCCACATTTGTTAAGGATATCACGGCAACATCCACAGCATCCTCTCCAAAGTCGTGAGCACCCATCCAATAAAAATCAGAGTAACAACAATGGATAATGTGTTCGTGTGTATATTGCCTTGGGAACTGTAGTCAGCATATGTGCCCCCAGATTGTGTGGCTTTTATTGAATTTGCATGGAGTTATAAATAAATTAGCCCCAGCATATTACCACTAAAACTAAAGTTAAAGCAACACGAAGAAGGTCGACAAGGTGCCTGAATAATAATCTGAAATTCAAACTAAAGGCAAAACCACAGTGACCTGTTGAACAAGGTATGTTTAATTTGAATAATCTTTTACAATAAACTTTTTAAACAGAATAAATATGTTACTTCAAGTTTTTATTTTAAAAAGATTACCATTCTTTAATGTTAAAGCATAAAATTAACAAACATCTTTTATTTTATGCACTACATACAATAAATCCAGAGTTATTAATCAAAAGTATTGCATGGAAAACTAATACACTGTAATAATTAATACGAAATACTAAAGTCCGAGTGGTAAATTCTTAATGGAATGTTTTTTATGTATATATTTTCAGAATTATCAACCATGTACGGAATGCTTTACGAGAGTGTTCAGCACTATGTGCAGGAGGAGTATGGAGTCGACATTTGGAAGAAGGTGTGTCATATCATCGACTGCAAGCACAACAGCTTCAAGACACACCAGATTTATCCGGACAAGCTGATGCCGGACATCGCCGAGGCTTTGTCCGCCTGCACGGGCGAGTCCTTTGACTTCTGCATGAACTTCTTTGGACGATGTTTTGTGCGCTTCTTCAGTAACTTTGGCTACGACAAGATGATTCGCTCCACAGGGCGCTATTTTGCGATTTCCTGCAGTCCATAGACAACATCCATCTGATTATGCGGTTTACCTACCCCAAGATGAAGTCGCCCAGCATGCAGTTGACTGCCATGGATGACAACGGAGCTGTGATTCTGTACAGGAGCAGTCGCACAGGCATGTCCAAGTACCTGATTGGCCAGATGACAGAGGTCGCTCGTGAGTTCTACGGCCTGGAGATCAAGGCCTATGTGATCGAGAGCCAGAACGATATCAGCGGAGGTACAGCCGGACCCATCAAGCTTACGGAAGGTCCTTTGACCGTGATTGTAAAGTATCGGCTGGACTTTGACAACCGGGAGTATATGGCCAAACGCGTCAATACGGAGGCCCATCCCTCGCAGCTGAAGATGCCCACTGTGAAACTGGACGTATTTCTTGACCTGTTTCCCTTCACCTTTGTCCTGAACCACGAAATGAAAATCACGCATGCTGGAGAGAAGATCGTGGAGACGTGGATTATGCATAATCCCGGGGCTAATCCAAAGGGTTTCTTCGGTACTCATGTCATGGACCTATTTCACTGTCGACGTCCAAAGGACACCACTATCGATTGGGATACCCTCATCCAGATGAGAGCGGTCCTCTTTGAGTTTGAGTTGATTCGTACGGGTCACAACCGCGCTGCCTACGACGCCGTCTTGAACATGGATTTTGAGAACTACGACGAAATGGATTTGAACGAGGCCCAGACAATGGCACTGGCAAAGGCCAAGGAGTTCAACGAAGCCCATCCTGCGGACGCAGACGAAGCCTCGGGAGAGGACGAGATCGACCCGGCCACGGGGGAACGGCGGTCCTCCAGGGTCTGAGGTCTATCCTGCTGAAGGGTCAGATGTTCTATATCAAAGACGTAGATTCGCTGATCTTCCTCTGCAGTCCTCTTATCGAAAATCTGGATGAACTGCACGGAATTGGTTTGTACCTGAACGATCTGAATCCCCATGGTCTGAGTCGGGAGTTGGTCATGGCTGGGTGGCAGCACTGCTCCAAGCTGGAGATTATGTTTGAGAAGGAAGAGCAGCGATCGGATGAACTGGAAAAGTCCTTGCAACTGGCAGATTCCTGGAAACGGCAGGGGGATGAGCTCTTGTACTCCATGATTCCGCGACCCATTGCAGAGAGAATGCGGTTCAGCCAGGAGCAGGTCTGCCAGAGTTTCGAGGAAGTATCCGTAATTTTCCTGGAGGTGATGAACGTCTACGATGAAGGATTGAATAGCATTCAGGGAGCCATGCAGGCGGTGAACACCTTGAACAAGGTATTCTCAGCACTGGACGAAGAGATCATCTCTCCATTTGTGTATAAAGTGGAGACTGTGGGCATGGTTTACATGGCGGTTTCGGGTGCTCCTGATGTGAATCCCCTCCACGCGGAGCACGCCTGTGATTTGGCCCTAAGGGTGATGAAGAAGTTTAAGGGTCACGAGTTGGATGACGTGGCCATTCGGGTTGGCATCAATTCAGGACCCGTGGTGGCCGGAGTCGTGGGTCAAAAGGTCCCGCGATACTGCCTGTTCGGGGACACCGTTAACACCGCCTCGCGAATGGAGAGCAGTAGCGATCCCTGGAAGATCCAGCTATCGAAGTACACCGGCGATAAAGTGAGCAAGTGGGATATAAAGTGGAGTCCCGCGGCACCGTTAAGGTCAAAGGCAAGGGCGAGATGGAGACTTATTGGCTGCTGGAGGGACCTGAGGGTTAAGGATAAAGAAATTTAATGCACCTCAACGTTTAGCACCATGCACTAAAAATTGTTCGACACCTGTGGCTTCTGTAATTCGTTGCAATAAAAGAGAACTTAACTCTTTACTATTGTGTTTAAAATGGGTGAATATCAAAAATGATCATCATTTGGAACTATTAGACAAAACTCAAACACAATGTTATTTTCATCAAAATAATTTTTGAAAATACCTTTAATTGTGAAATTGATAAAACAGTTACCGAACTTTTAAAAGAACTCGAAACTTAAAGCAATGGCTTATATTTCTGTAATATTCTCCATCCTGCCGACTCAATTACAAGCTAAGTTTACTTCCCGCCTTCTTAATTTTCAACAGACAACCCCCATTTCCGAAAATCCATTTTTAATAACTTTTATGGGCGGTTTGCGTGTCATTTGCACACCATCATCCACGCCAGCCACGAAGGACAATCATAAACCATACAAGCCTCAAGTAGACTTGGGTCCAGGGTCCTTTCTCCTGCTCCCTTTAGAAATTAAATTAAGTCACTTTGCGTGTGCTGAGAAATAGCAGCTCAAGTGTCTGGACGTTGGGCAATTAATTCCGGTGCAATATAATAATAAATGCACAGACAAAAAATTCTATACCATTTCAAGTCTTAATCTAGAAAGATACCATCTATAAGCTTTTTTGAGGACCTATATAGATTGATCAGGCATTGATAAGTGAAAATTATTTTATAAATTTCCTTTTTTCTGAGTGTAATTATTTTTTTACGTTAATTAAGTTTTTTTGATAAAAGGAACACAGGATAGTTTTTGCGCTATTTCTTATTGTACGCGCGCCTGTCACTTCTGTTATTAATGGCAATTTGAGTGGCTTTTAAGCGTGCCCAAAATATCTCCTTCGCTTATTCGAGCAGGCATATTATCATCCTTTTTGGACAATTTCTGTTCTGCCCATAAAATTGTCAACCTTAATTTAATAGGCTTTCCCGAAAATCCGATTCGTTTAAGTGGGAAAAAGGCTTTCTGTTCAATGCTGTGAAATCCTCTTTAAATTGGTTTAAAACAACACATCAAATATAGGACGCAGGCAAACATATATGTACATTATTTATGTGTGCTTTTATAGCAGAGGTATGCGTTAAAATGAAAAGGCATTGAGCACAGATGCCCCAAAGCCATTCCTCCATTGGGTAAAGGGGGTATGAAAGGGACCTAAGAGAAAAACTCTACAGCAATGATATATTTGACAGACTGTTTTAAATGTTCCAGGGCTTTGGGATGTACATCGGTTCTTGATGGGTACGTAGGGTACAATAAATTATAAAGAACTTAATTTTCGAATTTCCATTTTTTTTCAATAATAAGAGTATAATTTAATTTAGAAAATATTACAGTAATTTCGTTCTGCTCCTGTTCAGGGTTCCTCCTTATCTATCCCTGGAACATCCGTTTAATAGCACGGCAAAGGGGAGACCCAAAGGACAATACTTTGCACGGAATGTCAGGACCCCGAGCACAGAAACAACGATGTGGGGGATGAGGGTCATAAAAGGAATGAACGGGGAGAAAAATGACTCCTTCGGTTGTGTGTCAATGTTTATACTGTATCAGAAGGAGAGAAAGTGGCAATTGAGGCAAAGAGCATTGACTGGCAACGGTTCCTGGTAATAATGAAGAATAATAATGATGATGATGATCACGATGGTCAAACAGAGAAGTGCGTGTCGGGGCGCAGGCACGTAGGTCCTAAGTGGTACGGAAATATAGCTCCCACTGCACTTGTAGTGGGTGGGCTATAAAAGGCCTGACCGCCAAAGAGGCACGCTTCATTCGACCGACATCGTCCCCGAAAAGGGAAAGCTCCACGGAACCGACAGAACCGACTAAACAGAACCGACAGACTCACGAAGCTCGTCAGAGGAAATCATGAAACAAATCAGACTGCCAGAAGCCAAGGCGGCAAAACAAATTTAGTGTAACAATAGCAACTGCCGACGACGGAACACGGAGACCGGAAAAGTGAGAGGCCCCGAGAAGTGCGTGCATATATACATACTATACGTATCCGTACCCGAGTTTACGCATCCGGGGGAGCATGTGTGCTGGCATACGCCTTCCTTAAATTATAAATAAGCGAAGAGCAAATGCCGCGTGGATAAATTTAAAACTCTTTAAGAGGTGCGGACAAACGCGATTTGATGCTGGAGAACTGAAAGCGATTCAGTTAGTGGATAGGAACGAGGCGGAAAGCAATATAAAGTAAGCTGGGTACTAGAAGATGATAATAAGCTAATTTCACGGTCACCTAATCAAGGAGATTTGGCTAGGGAAATTCAAAGGGTTTCCCGGAAACCGGAAAAGGGCAATTCGTCAAAAGATTAGATACTCTTCCGATTCCATTGTCATTAGCTAAAGTTTATTCTAGACTTTAAATAATACAAATCTATTAAACTATTAGCCTGAATGCTATTGCGACGAATATCTTTTTTTGATAGACAATTGTTAGCAAACTTAAATATTGAGCGATTAAACCCTCTTATTATTTAGGATAAGGCTTTTGTGTTAAATTGACAGCTTACATTCTCTGAACATTAATCAACCGCTTCTGTTTCCATTTAACCACACAAACAACAGCATTTTTATCTACTTTTTACGACTCTAGGTTTGACAGAATTTGCATGTTCTTGGTAAAATTAAATGTACTCAAACTCCTGAAAGATTTTCGAGAATTTATGGCTCAGTTAGTAAGTCTGTGAAAAAAAAAATTGAAAAGCTGGCATTGCCACCAGCGAATTACAGCAAACAGCAAAAGGAAATAAGTCAAGAGTACAATAGCTATGTTCCTCTCGCCAGGAACGTGACAGGCTTAATGGGGATTGGGGCGAGGAATAGGAGGACTCAGTGCCTGGCTCTGCCACATGAACTCAAATTAAACTGTCGGGGTAATAAATCAAATGATATGGAGGAAAAGCAGACTTCCTTGAGTGCTGTTGACGGCTAGATAAGATAAAAAACCCTCGACGATGCAGGCATATATAACCCTGTTTTATTACTTTCCAAAGATATTTCAAATTTAGGTTTGACAAGGAGTCATAATATTTTTAGGATATGGGTGTTACTATCCATTTCTGACCTTATAAAGTACATTTTAATTCTTTTTTATATATCATCCAGCTGATTAAGCTAGGGGATGTTCGAACTATGGAAGCTAAATCCTTAAAATTTGATTAATTAAAAACTATTTTTTATTGAGTTAAAGACCTAGAGAACAAATTCGTTTACGCAGGACTGTATTCTGTAACCTTCTTAAATCCCATCAATCACTTAAGTTATGTACGAGTTTGGTTAATCCCTGACCCAACGCACCGAAATTGACTTAAATCCTCCGGGGTACGAACACAGTTTACCTAATTACCAGCTGTGAACGATGGAAAAACTTTGTTCAGCCTCACCCTCACTATGTGCCTACCAACTTTGGGTCGTTACAGGAAAACTTTAGCGAAAGCAATTTGGTCGATAGACAGGTCTTAGGGAAGCGCAAACATCCACACCCACCGCCATCATGTACGGAATGCTGTACGAGAGCGTACAGCACTACATCCAGCAGGAGTACGGGATGGAGACCTGGAGGAAGGTCTGCCAGATAGTAGACTGCAAGCACCAGAGCTTCAAGACGCACCAGATCTATCCGGACAAACTGATGCCGGATTCGCAGCAGCCCTATCGGCGAGCACTGGAGAATCCTTTGACTTCTGCATGAACTTCTTTGGACGTGTTTCGTCCGCTTCTTTAGTAACTTCGGCTACGACAAGATGATTCGCTCTACGGGACGGTATTTCTGCGATTTCCTGCAGTCCATCGATAATATCCACGTGCAGATGCGTTTCACCTATCCCAAGATGAAGTCTCCCAGCATGCAGTTGACTGCCATGGATGATGATGGGCCGTGATTCTGTATCGCAGCGGGAGAACTGGTATGTCCAAGTATCTTATTGGCCAAATGACGGAGGTGGCCAAGGAATTTTACGGGCTGGATATGACCGCATATGTTGGAGAGCCAGAATGATATCTGGGGGCACAGCGGGTCCATTAAACTTACGGAGGGTCCCTTAACTGTGATTGTAAAGTATCGTCTAGACTTTGACAATCGCGATTACATGGCCAAGCGGGTGAATGTCATCGCTCATCCTTCCAGCTCAAGATGCCCTCGGTTGACCTAAACGTCTTTCTAGAGCTGTTTCCCTTCACCATAGTGCTGGATCATGATATGAAAATCACACTCGCGGGCGAGAAGATTGTGGAAACGTGGATCCTGCATAATCCTGGTGTGAACCCAAAGGCTTTATTGGTAGCCACATCATGGAGCGTTTCAAGTGCCGGCGGCCCAAGGACACCCAATCGAATGGGAAACTATACTGCAGATGCGGACAGTGCTCTTCGAGTTCGAACTCATCCGCACGGGTCACAACCGCGCCGCCTACGAAGCGGCCTTGAACTTTGACTTCGATACCTTCGATGAAGCCAGCAGTCTGAACGAGGCTCAGGCCATGGCTTTGGCCAGTGCCAAGGAGTTCAGCGAGGAGAACGCCAAGGAAGAGGAAGCAGCCGCCGCCACATCCAAGGACGAAATCGATCCGGCCACGGGACAGAGAAGACACTCCGTGGGCCTCCGATCTATACTATGAAGGGTCAGATGTTCTACATCAAGGACGTGGACTCGCTGATCTTCCTCTGCAGCCCTCTTATCGAAAATTGGATGAACTGCATGGAATTGGTCTGTACCTGAACGATCTGAATCCCCATGGTCTGAGTCGGGAGTTGGTCATGGCTGGATGGCAGCACTGCTCCAAGCTGGAGATTATGTTTGAAAAGGAAGAGCAGCGATCGGATGAGTGGAAAAGTCCTTGGACTGGCTGATCGTGGAAACGGCAGGGGGATGAGCTCCTGTACTCCATGATTCCCGGCCCATTGCCGAGCGAATGAGAAAGAGCGAGGAGCACGTCTGCCAGAGCTTCGAGGAGGTTTCCGTCATATTCATCGAGGTGCTGAATGTCTACGACAGCGGGTCCAATAATATTCAGGATGCCATGCAGGCGGTGACCACCCTGAACAAGGTTTTCTCGGCACTGGACGAAGAGATCATCTCTCCATTTGTGTATAAAGTTGAGACCGTGGGCATGGTTTACATGGCGGTTTCGGGTGCTCCTGATGTGAATCCTCTCCACGCGGAACACGCCTGTGACTTGGCCTTGCGCGTGATGAAAAAGGTCAAAGCCCACGCCCTGCCAGGAGTGGCCATTCGGGTTGGCATCAATTCAGGACCCGTGGTGGCCGGAGTGGTTGGTTTGAAGGTTCCTCGATATTGTCTGTTCGGGGACACCGTTAACACCGCCTCGCGAATGGAGAGCAGCAGCGATCCCTGGATGATCCAGCTCTCCAACTATACCGCCCTCAAAGTGAGAAAGGTGGGATATAAAGTGGAAGCGCGGGGATTTGTTAAGGTCAAGGGAAAGGGCGAAATGGAGACCTACTGGCTATTGGAGGGACCAGAGTAATATTATAGATTTGTTAATTTTTAATAACCAGGATGCATATAACATATATTTAAATAATTAAATGGGAAAACACCGTTTATATATAAGGATATAACAAACATATTTTCAAAATCAAAAACCTGTTGCTCGCTGCGGTAAGGTTTTTGGCAGAATTTCCAAGTTAAGGACAACAACTCAAATGTCTTGGCATAAAAATCTTTTTGGACTTCATTTAAAAACTGTACAATAAAAGTGGATAAACTATTAAATACAAACAAAATTTGTTTTTCTTCAAAATATACCTAATATTTGTGGAATTTTTGTAAGGTAGGTTGGAGAGAACACTATCGATAAATTAAAATTAACGATTGCTATTAAAACCTTTTGCCGCGTAGCATCGATCAGCTGCTCCATTTATTGGCTTAGTAAATGTTTTTGAAGTTTGTTTTGTGAGTCCTAAATATGTTACGTTTCAATTTAATCGTGGCAGTTTGCGAAATTTCGGCATCGGCATCAAAGGCGACCTGCCGTGGCACATTAAGTAAGTTAATTTTCAAAGATATCACCGAATGCTTAAGATTTCCTTCCGCAGATCAGAGCTGAAATACTTTAGCCGCACTACCAAGCGGACGAGCGATCCCGCCAAGCGCAATGCCGTCGTCATGGGCAGGAAAACATATTTCGGAGTGCCGGAGAGCAAGAGACCTCTGCCCGATCGTCTGAACATAGTCTTGAGCACCACTCTTAAGCAGGAGGAACTGCCCAAGGGAGTGCTCCTCTGTCCCAGTCTCGAGGCAGCCCTTAAGGTTCTTGAGGATAAGAGCGATATAGAAAACATTTGGATCGTGGGGGGCAGTGGAGTGTATGAGGAGGCTATGGCCTCGCCAAGATGCCACCGGCTGTACATCACCAAAATCCAGAAGAGTTCGAGTGCGACACATTTTTTCCCGCAATCCCCGACAGCTTTAAAGAGGTATCTCCCGATTCCGACGTGCCACTGGGCGTGCAGGAGGAGAATGACATTAAATACGAGTACAAGGTCTTGGAGAAACAGTCGAAATAAAGCAATCCACTAATTTATTTGCCTTGCACTTCATCTAAACCTTTGGCCGCCAGCATTAGCTCGTATAATTGCACCACCTGGTCGTCCTTGAGCATTTCCACGGCCTCCGGATCGATCTCTTCGCCCAGTTCCCCCTTGGGCTTGCCCCGTATTCCCATTGTTGGGTGATCGTCGAGGCATAGCGCTGCAATGGATGGATTCCTTAGCAGAGCACCCTTTTGGTAATTACGTAAAACTCACGGCCCACTCGGTCATGAAGAGTTGTGCCTCCATGGGATTGCATTAAGGTGCCGCCGGAACTCGTCCCGCACATAGTTATCGCCCAGAGCTCGCAGTTCCGCCGGAAGTCCTGTGGAATGCAAAGAAACCTGGTGAAATTGTTGATATTTTGGGAAAGTAGTGCTCATCTCACCTCGGTGCAGTCGCAGAATGGTTTTGTACAGCAGGCGGACACGCTGGGGGTGGGTCAGTTGGTTCATCACAATTTTTGACATCCGGAGTTTAGTTCCTATATAACATTATAATACTATATATTTCCTAGCCGGCTAAAAAAAACAAATATTTGTGAGAAGTAACAACGAATATCAACGTTCACTGCCCAGTGTTGGTTAACATCAAAAACTGTTTTTAATTTGTCTACCAACGATTACATCTGGCAACGTTAAAAAGCGCGCGCTTTTGAAATCCACTTGCGGAATCCCTTAAAAGTTAAACTCTATGTTGAATGTACTATTTATTATGGTGAACTTAAAGTATTGTTTATTTTTAGAAAAACCTATTCGTTTTATTTACATTTTGAGTAGGAGGTTTACAAAATTACTACAAAATGTAACCATTAAATGGTGAAATTAGCTTTGGTGGGTCAAAAAATGTGAACCCCTGAAATGCTACATATTTTCCTATTTCCACTGGATTTATAAAATCAAAAACAAGCCTGTCGCAAAATTAAGTTAAGGTTTCTAAAACTTCTTAGTGGGCTTTTTACATCATGGTTTATTTGTAGCATGTTTGAATATATATAATCACATGTGCAGTGTAGGTTCAAATCTGTCGAAAAAGCATCCCTTGGGGGTAAAATTAAAGAACATCTCGCGTGGAAATTGGGCTCTGCATCAGAAAACAAACCAATATATGACATACACACACGCTCTGCACCAACTTTGGCTAACTATTGCACGCCTCTCTCTCTCTAAATACTATACGCCTAAATACACCAAGCACCAAACGGAAGGTGGCGGAGGGGTACACAACATTGTTGTCATCTTCGTCGTCGTCGTCGTTTTGAACAGAAGAACGTTTTAACAATTAAGTTTTCTAGTTTTGTTATTGCGGCGCCGCAGCAGCGGGAGGCGGTGGATCCGCGGGCTCCTGCTCCTGTCCGCCAGCCGCATTCGCAATCTGGTCCGGCAGCAGAGGCTGACCCTCGCCGCCCCAAGGAAAGCCGCCAGGACGATCTTCGGCGGCTGCTTGATAGTTGCGCTCGATGTGCTCATTGAAGAGTCGTTTCCTAAGGACAACAAATACTTAATTCCCATACTCCACTCAATAATACTAAGTTCGACTTACAAAAAGTAGGGGGTTTTGATCAGTCTATAGCCGTTGGACAGTGTGGGATAGACGTCCTCCAGCACGTAGTAGATGTGGCCAACACCCATCCCGATGACATCCACCCACACGGTGTTGCCCAGGATCATGGAGCAGCAGAGGAGCACCCACGGCAGGTAGGGCGCCTGGAAGTTGAGTACCCAAAGAAATTCATGGGCACTAATGGATTGCGGCGTGACCACACATAGACCAGCATCAATGTGAAGGCCTGACCCAGGAACAACAGGTTGACGAAGATGCCGAAGAAGGTCATCAGAACGCCGCCGAAGATGAACATCATGACAAAGTCAGAGCTGCGTCCGCGGAAAGATCCGTCCTCCAGCATGCGGCAGTAGCGATATGTGAACACCATATTGAAGAAAAAGCTTATGCCTATGGTGCCGAAGTACAGGAATGTGGTGGCCAGGCGCCAAATCTGGAACTTGCGCACAATCAGCGTGGGATTAAAGTAGAGCTGCAGCGGCGACACGAGGTCCAGATGCTAGAAAGTTGGCAAGGTTCACCGATTAAACACGTCCACGTCAGCCTCGATAAAGAACCCAAAACGGTAGGGATCACTTACCACCGCCAGAGTGGTCAGCACGCAGACCGTCGTGTAAGCCCGTGTGACCACCGGGATCTCCAGGTAGAACTGCCGCAGTGCATTCATGGCGGCTCCTCCTCCTCCGTGGGGCTCGGAATATGCAGTTTGGCAAGTGACCTACGTTGTGATCCTTTGGACTCTTGGCTGTTAGCCGCTTCTACGCTCACATCCACCGGCGTTTGGGCTGTTTTCAGTGGTCGTCCCACCTGGGTGTTCGGATCTCCCAGATTGGCAAGAGGAAGTGGATTTGGGACAGCGCTGGGCTCGATGGAAAAATAATAGTTTTTATTTTTATGAACGGGTCTGTTGGTGGTGAGCCGATTGCTAGCGACAACACAGATAGTCTGGCGCCAGCTATCGATTATTGCCAATCGTGACACGGAAAACAGCCTGTCGTGACACGAAAACCAAAAACTTTTCAAATTCTATGCTATTAACTAATTATGTTTTATATTTTATTATTTAGAGCACTATAGAGCATTTGATCTGATCTAATAATAAAATATTACCCCATTGAACATTTATGAACATAAAGCTAAGTACGTTCATTTCTGTCAAAGACCTACTATTTAAATACTTAATTTAAGAGCCATGAAGTTTAGAAAATACTTCAATTTATAATCTTTTTAAACTCTTATTTATTGCACTTGTTTCTTAACATCTAACATCTAAGCATAGTTTACTAAACTAAAAATTGCACTGTTTTTCTTGCTAAAAAAACCTAAAACAAAGAATTCGACTTGCTAAATTCGAGGGGGCGACGAAAGGACTGCTCCAGATTGTGCAACCTCTGCTCCAGGTCGTTCATCGAGTTCCGGAGGGCGTGGCCCCGGGGTCGCAGCGAGATCTGCGGCGACTGCTGCATGAGGTCGTCCTTGACCCCGGAGAAGGAGTGCCGGACCAGGAGCGCTTCTCGAAACGCGTGTTCTGGTAGTGGGGATGGTGGTTGGAGGGCTGCTGATGTTGACGGTGCTCGCAGCTGGCACTCCGACAGTTGTGGGCCACCAGTGGCTCATCGGTCTTCAGCGAGTCCTCGTAGGTGTCACTGTTGGAAGGATGTTCCAGTGTTTATTACAATTGGAAATGCAGAAAAAAGGATTCTAGATTGGGTATGTACTTTTACTCACCTGCTGTCTGTATTTGGATGGGGCTGGCGCAGCTCCAAGTGTGCCTTGGCATGTCTGGGGCAGAGTAATTCCGGATTGTTGCTGCGCTTGGAGCCACCGTGCTGAAAGGAGTCCGGCGAGGTCTCGTATAGCTCGCGACTGCTCAGGAACTCCACCCCGGAGTCCTGACCCGTGGAGTGGAGTGAGAACAGCGAGGTTTCGTAGTTGTTGCTGGGAATGGTAATACGATTTGTAATTATTATTAGATATTAATTATAATTAGTTTGCTTTGTATAAAAACAGAAAAAAACAAGGGAGAACGCTATAGTCGAGTACCTCGACTATCAGATACCCGTTACTCAGCTAAATGGAGATATGCAAGCAGCAAAGCGAGATTAAAATGCGCCACCTACCGGCGGTATACAGATTTAAGCGTTATGGGCGTTAGAGTGGGCGTGGCAAATTTTTTTTTGGATCAATCGATAGGTATTGACGAGACCAATACATTTCAGGTAAAATTTTTTATCTAGCATGAAAATTGTGGGCGTCACAGGGTTTTGCGGTTTGTGGGCGTTAAAGTGGGCGTGGCAACTTTTTTTTTGGATCAATCGATAGGTATTGACGAGACCAATACATTTCAGTTAAAATTTTTTATCTAGCATAAAAATTGTGGGCGTCACAGGGTTTTGCGGTTTGTGGGCGTTAAAGTGGGCGTGGCAAATTTTTTTTTGGGTCAATCGATAGGTATTGATGAGAACATTACATTTCAGTTAAAATTTTCTATCTAGCATCAAAACTGTAGGAGCCACAGTTTGGGCGGTTTGTGGGCGTTAGAGTGGGCGTGGCAGTCTACTGAACAACTTGCGCTGCGTAGAAGCTCAGGAATCTGCACGCAAATCTCATAGCCTAGCTCCATAGTTTCCGAGATCTCAGCGTTCATCCGGACAGACGACAGACGGACAGACGGACAGACGGACAGACGGACAGACGACAGACGACAGACGGACATGCTAGATCGACTCGGCTAGTGATCCTGATCAAGAATATATATACTTTATGGGTCGGAAACGCTTTTTGCCTGTTAATACTTTCCGACGAATCTAGTATACCTTTTACTCTACGAGTAACGGGTATAATAAATGTCAAACCCATCTTGAGTTTCCAACCTTTTAGCTTACTTTATAATTCTAAAGCCTCATAACGACTTTTTGGAGATAGTTTCAAAGCATAAAATAGTGCCTAAACTTTAATATATTATTTTTTGGCTTAGACATAAATGAATGGAGCCTTAAAAAAAAAAATTGATTCATAATTCAAAGTAAAATTATTAGTAAAATTCTTGAAAAAGAAATTTAAGTTATGTGCACTTACAGATTGTTCACCGGCTGACAGGCATTGTACTTGAGCACAAATGGAGTGTTCCCGGCGCCCACATTTCCGTCGCCCCCACTCGCCGCCGCCGCTGCCGCCTTGACAATCGATTTGGGAAGAGGTACGTCTATATATTCGCGCTGCTGCTGTCGCTGTTGCCTGATCGAGGATGGATGGGTTGGTAGGTGTCCAGAATGGAAACAAGTTTGACCACAGAAGGCCATTCACTACTCACTCGTTCAGGTACTGATGGTGCTGCTGCTGCGTGGCCATCGCCTGCTGCTGATGGTGATGGTGCAACTGTTGCTCCAGTTTCTCGGTGGCGGTGGCCGTCGACTGTGTCTGCGCCGAGGAGCAGACGGACTCCGGCATGAATGCACTCGTGGGTCGCTGGCTGCCAGTGCTGCTGCCCTTGCTGCAGCGCTGAGTGTGTCGCTGTTGCCGCTGGCGCCGTTGCTTCTGACCACGAGGGGATCCGATTCCGGCGATGGTATAGGTGAGACCGCCATCCGAGGCGGAAAAATCACGCTGAGACCAGAGACGTCTGCAATTGGACATGGGAAAAAACATAACCAGCTCAGAATAACTTGAAAAAATTCTGATACTAATCAAATTGGTTAAATATTGGTTTTTATAATTTTATTTTGTGTATAAAATGTAGATTGTAAAAATTTATATATGCAAACATGTATAAAAAAAAAAAAAATTGCTGAATGTAACTGATTCAGTAAGGAAAGACTTTTTTTTTATACATTTACTATATTCATAGCATCTTATTTTCTTTACATTTTTATCCTTTCTTAGAGCAGATGCTGGTATCTTAAAGACAACAACATTTTTCTCTGTGCAGGATGAGCCGAGTTGATGAGATGAGAGGCGATTTGATTGGCATTCCCATTTGGGATGCTATTGCAGAGATGTCACAAGATCTTCGTCTAATTGCCTCATGTTGCCATTGCCGCATTGTTGCAACTGATGTTGTGTTTGTTGCTTTTTACCGTTATAATTTAATCGGACAGGAGAGGCCCAATGCCAGCCGGTTTATTCAGAGGCTTAGAGCCATCAACCACATTGGCCATGACCATGGCCATTAGCAGTAGCAACAAATACAACGACAGCAGCAGCAACATGATTTGCAATTGACTTAAGATTTATTATGGAGGCCTTTAGCTTAAGCTAAAACTATGGCTAACATGAAATGCATCTATGAGCTACTTTCGAGCGCCCAGTAAGCAGTCTTTCGGTTGCAGTTGCACTTGTATGATAATGATACTCGTACACCACCTCTCTCATTCATACCGTTTTTGGCGCATGCACAGGTAGCAACAGGCGGCCATCAGGGCACCCAGGCTGATCAGGGCGAGAAGAACCACAGTCACGAACTCCAATCCTCCCATGAAACTGGATGAAGAGGCGTGTGTGGCCGTGGGGATTGTCCAAACTCCGCCAGCTCGATGATGCGAGGCATGGGCTTTCCTCCATCAAGCTTCTGCTGCTGCAGCTGCAGTGCATCCAGTTGGAGGCCAGCCAGGGACCTGAAAGAAGACATTCAGGTTCATTAATTCGCATGACAGTTCTGGGTCAATCGATTTTCGGTCGGGAATAGCGTCAGAAAGGGGGACGGTTGGGAAAGAGGGGAAAACTTACTCCTGAAGTTGCTCCATTTCCATAATGGAATTCGTGTGCGGATCGACTGCATAGATATAGGCATTGGTGCTGTTAAAGTAGAGAGAAGAAGAACCTGTTAGATGAGGCGGGAGTGTTTTGATTGCATTTAATGGCCAACTATCTTATGTAATGCGGCCAAACTGCACATTTGCTTGGAATTTGTAAGACTTCTCAAAATTGAAGTTAATAATTTATGAGCTTGAATGGATTGATCTTTATCTGACACAAATATATTGAATTTTTCTTAGTTTTTATTGTTAGATGGCAGAACTGTATAAAAGTCTACGATATCTAAAAGATACTACTTAAAGTAAGACTAGGCGGTTTTGAAAGATAAGTATTAAAACTCACGCTGCTTCTAGACCTCCAGAATATGGTCCAGCAACCTCACTCGTACATCCTTGCCAATGGCATCGCTCAGGGCCTCCATTAGTCCTCAATGCGACGTTCAACTTCAACGGGCATTCCGGCCACTACCAGTCGCACCTGCTTGGCCTCATCGATGATGTAGACAAAGACGTTAACATACCACTCCGTCCATCATCAGCACCCATTCGATCCGTGGCCTTCACATCGAAACCGTAGATGCGTTCGTCTCGGGAAAGGTCCCCCATAGGCGAATATTACCGGACAACTCATCGATGCCAAAAAGTCAGTTGGCTCATTAAGCATCTATAGCGTATCTCGGCGTTTAGTCCCTCGTCCAAGTCGTTGGCCACCACTCGCGTTACAGGGTATCCAAAGCTGGCACTCTGCGGGAGAACCGCCACAATTGGTGACCGTTCCCCCGGAACTTTGGTGAATTATCATTTTCGTCCGCTATATGGACCAGAATTCGACACTCGTTGAGCGACAGACCCTCTATTCGTTCATCTACCACGGATATGAGACCCTGGCATAATTTCTAGCTTCCCGACTCAACCGATCAGCCCGAATCCTTAACTGATACCGGATATATGCTCCCTGTCAAAGGGTTTGAGGGCATACAATAGCATATTTTTGGCATCATATTCAAAGGGCGGATGAGCATCCGTTTCATCCAAGCCCTCTTCCAACCACAGGACCACCGATAGTTCTCGGATTGAGGCCAGCACTAAGGTTCAACCGCATCACCTCAATGGGAGCTTCATTGTTTTCCGTGAGTTTAACCTCATAGTAGGCGTGCTGGAATACGGTTACATTGGCAGGAGGTTCTGGTTTGGGAGTGGACTTGGGAGGATCCGTAACTGCCTGTCCCTGGAGATTTACGATCACCACAGCCGTGGCGGACAAAGCTGGACTTCCCACATCCGAGGCTATAACAGAAACATTCAGATGTTCGTATCATTGTACCCGTTAATGCGGATATTGTAGAGATGGTACCATCTCTGGAGTCGATTTGGAAGAGTGGTGCCTGCATTTCCTGATGACGAATGGAGTACAACACCAGCCATTGCCATTGCCCACATTATCCTTGTCAATGGCCGTGAGTTGCCTTACAAAAGTTCCTGGTTGGGTGCTACGATCCAGATATGCCTTATAAACCGGCAACATCATCGTGCGATCTGCCACATTCGGTATAAATTTCACCGCCTTTGTCTGATCATCGTAGCCAATGAACTCGGGACGATTATCGTTGATATCCAGGACATTTACTTCCACATCCACGCTGCTGGACATTCTCTGCATCACCGGGGCATTATCCGTGGCCATCACCTGGAAGCTGTACTTGTCCTTTAGCTCCCGATCGAGTTGCCCAGTGATCTTGAGGACTCCCGATGCTGGTTTGATGGTAAATGGCAGGTGTGATCACTGATCGTATACGTTATATTGGCGTTCTCGCCAAATCCATGTCTATGGCTGTCAATTGACCCAGAACGCTATCCTTATACTCCCCCTCTGGGGTATCAAAGCTGTACCAGGATTCTTGAACGTCGGTGCATGATTATTAACATCCATCACGGTGAATCGCAGGCATGCAGAGTCCTTTAGACCATCTATATCCGTCACAGTTAGATTTAACCAAATCTCGATATTGGCCGACAAAGGATAGTTTACCGATAGCTCTCCGCTAAGTTTGTCGATTGTAAAATACCTCCCTCCCTGAACCCGCAACATGGGCATTCCGGGTGTCCGTTCCACCTGTTCTCCATGAAGCTCATAATGCAGCTGGGCATTCTTCCCGTAATCTTCATCACTGGCACTCAGTTGAAGGACCTTCGTACCCACTGGCGTGTCCTCATAGATGGCAAACAGGGGACATTGATGGACACGGCACGGACCATTCTACGTCGTGATTTGCTCTAGCCACCACCCCCAATCCTGTCCCAATTCCCACTGATCTCTCCCGATCCTGATTGTATCTCGGTGATCCGGGTATTGATAAGGAGGTGGGGCCAGCATCATAGCTGCCGTTGCCTGAGGTGCTGCCAAACCACTCGAGCTTTCCACAAAGTAAATCTCCATGTCGGTGGTGTATTCACGGATCTCCAAGCGGGAATCTTTAAAAACCGAAATGCGCTCAAACATGGGAGCATTGTCATTAACATCGGCCACGAGAATAGTAAGATGGGCGTATCCAGAGAGACCACCCGAATCCGTGGCTATAATCTTCAGGTTGTACAACTGCTGTTTCTCTCGATCCAAGCCTTTCTTTCCCGTATAGGAGACGCGGAAATACGGCCCCGAACTAAGCTTAAAGTTCGTTTGCATAAAGGTGGTGTGCAACTCCTGGTACTTGAACTCATCGTTCCATTGATCCGTTAGGTTAAAGATATTAAAGGCCCCTGTTGTGGATGGCATTTTATGCTGAGTGGTATTTCCTGAGGAACTTCCATTTATATATTCTATGCTGAACTCTTCGCTATAATCGCCTTGAAGCTGGACTCTGAACTCAGCATTTGGTCCTTCATCGGCATCCTGGATGAGAATCGCATGGTTCATCGATAGCTCCGTGCCCACGGCGCAGTTTTCATTGATCAAACCCACATAAGTGAGTGCATTGAACTTGGGAGCATTGTCGTTGACATCATCCACCTTGATGTTCACCTGGTAAATCCCAGCTCCACTTACCAATCCCGTGCTGTACTCCACGATCACGGTTAGTTCGTAACTTGCCTGCTGCTCCCGATCCAGTCCGATCAAGGTAAGCAGAGTTCCATCCTCCGTTATGGAGATCTTGTTCACCACCTCCTGCTGATTGGCAATGATATAGCGGAGTTTTATATTTGTATCCCCCACGAGTCGTCTTGGCAATCGACGCTTTGATTTGGAACTGCGACTCCGGTTTCGGCTGCGGAATCTACTGCCCATGGTTAGATTACGTCCTGTTGCTTCTGAAGGCATTTCCCGGAAAGTTCCCAGCTCGTTGTTCACCAGATTGATGCCGTTCTTGTACAGCAACTGTCCTATAATGCCACCAACAACGTTCTCCTCCACATGGAAGTTAATGACATTCATGTTGATCTCTCTGAAATAAAGGTATTAAAAATAATATACTTATTAAAAATTGTGTTGGTTTCGTATAACAACATTTACATTTTTATTAACCTACATTAAACTTTGAAAAGTAAAAATGATACTTACTCTATTACAGGTCGCAGGGGCACCTTTTGCTCTGGCTTGTTAACAATATGGATGGTAAGATTTGTGATGAGTACACCTTCATCGGTGAGTTCACCGGGCGAGGCTATTGTGGTCAAAGGCGATGAACTTCGAGACATAACCAGTGTTTGCGAAGAGTTGGCAAAGAGCTGGGGAGATACATAAAATATTAAAACCTAATAAAAACAAAGTTAAAGTAAAAGCTGAACTCACATAATTTGCCACGGCTTCAAACTGGTAGACTTTCCGCTTGAATTCCGATAGTTCCCGTATGACAGTGATAATACCCGATCGCTCTTCGATGGCAAAGGGAACACCCTCTGAATAAGTGTGCAGGAGATCGTACATTATCTCATCCTCTCCGTCGTAGATCAAAGTGGTGCGTACTTGACCACTGAGGTTCCCAATGGAGTGTTCGCACCCACCCAAATCGTAAGGGGCACCCACAAAATCAATGGCCTGGTCATCAATGTGGCATAAACTTCAATGGTGATCACTGCCAATGAGAATCGCCGCTCTGAGGGATTTGTGGGCTGATCACTGGCCTCCACAAAGACTGCAATGCGTCCCCTTCGCAGAGGTCCACCACATAGATAGTACCATTCTTGTTATCCAATCGGAAAGGTATATAACCACTGCCTTTCGGCCTTTGAAGCTCATATAGCAGTTTACCATTGGGACCCTCATCTGGATCGTGGGCGACCACCTGGCCAATCACATAGCCAGTGGGTGCATTGATGGCACCTTGAACTCATATAGATTTCCATGTTCAAACTTTGGCGTATTGTCGTTCGTGTCCAATAAAGTGATCTCCACTTGAACCTTGCTGGGTCCTGGTGTCTTCAAGTGCTTATCATCCAGATACGAAGGATTCCTTTCCAGGGCCTCCACATTAGTTGGACAGATCTTCGCTGTTCGCGATCTAGCAAGCGATCATCGCGCACAGTAATCCATCCCGTCCGGGAATCTATACGAAAAGCACCCGTAGCATCCTTGTCTCCACAGATTGTACAGAAATTCCGAGTTCTCGCCCTGATCACGATCCACAGCATTAACCTGAAGTACACTGAAGCCAGTGGGCAGGTTCTCCACAATGGAAATGTTGTAGAAATCAGCCTCGAATCGGGAACATTGTCATTCAGATCCAGAACCTCCACTTCGATGCTGTTAATAAAACTTAAAGTTATCGCTCACTTTCTGATCTTTGAACTCACCGTGCTAATGCTTTCTTAAGGGGATTATCTTTCTGTCGCGCCTCAAGCTGAAGAACAAAAGTATTGCCTGGTAGACTCTCCTCCTCGAGATCGATTTCTTTTTGCAAATACATGACACCATTGTGAGGATTGACCCGGAACAGCTGACGCTCATTACCCGAAATGATGTCGTATACAAGCGAAGCGTTCAGCGAATCCTGATCGAAGGCCATTATGGGTGGGGCAAAGTACAGGGGTATCCTTATAGGCACACCTGTCATCGGATAGAACTCATTGACCCTGGTTCGATAGACACCTTCGGTGAATTTCGGCGGTAAATCATCCACATCTCTAACATTGATTGTGATCGTGGTGTTTGCTTGGTTAGCAGGGGTTCCTCGATCCCAAGCAAATATTGGCAGCTTAAATTGCCGGATGCCATTATCAAAGTCCAGTTCCCGCTTCAGGATGAGCAGTGGACGATGGGGACTTTTGAGGGCAAAGTATGGACTTCCATCAGCTGATAATTGCTCTGGAACCGTGGACATGCTAAAGTGAACCTCAGAATTCGGGGTATTGGGCTTGTCCCGATCGAAAGCCTGTACTCCCTCAAAGATGATGCTCTCAATGGATGTGTTCTCATCCACATCGACTACGTAGGGTACGTTAAGAAACTCCGGCGCATTGTCGTTACATCTCGATGTACACGGTGATGGAAAGGTAGCTACCCTGAAATTTTAGAAAAGGTTTCTGAACATATTTTAGAAAATGTTATAAGAATTAAAGGAACATTGCTAATTAAAAATATTTAATTTAATATTTGAAATTGATGTATTAACATTTACATTTACATTAAGAGATTAGGATTTTATTTTTGACGATTTTTAAAAACCAATAAAATTCAATATCCCCAAATCAGGATTAGCATAGATTGGACAACCACCTCCTCCAATTTCTCGTGTTTTCCGGCACAGAGGATCCGGAACTTGAGCAGGTTCCGGGGCACATCGCGGTCCACGAGTCGTTCCAGCGATCGGGCCAGACTGATCACCAAGGTGGTGGCATTGTGCTCCGTGAGGTTGAAGTACTTGTGGTCCCCGCTCGCATCGGCTCCCTTAAGGGCAGCCGTGGATCGGGGATAGGCCTGCAGTCGGAGGATCTCCTTGCCCACCTGGGCGTCTTCCCTAAGCCGGATAAAGCGGACACCTTCGCTTTCCGCGGCGACTCCGTCGAGCGTGTGAAACGCACAACTGCCGGAGGTAGCTGAAAAGTGGGGCACCAGATTACAGATTACTATATATAGAAGGTATGTGGCATGTAGAAGAAAGTAAAACTTTGACAAATTGTCGGTGTTGTTTATTTGGGCATGCAAATTTTTTCGCGCACTCTGAGAACCGAAAACGGAAAAGCCCGAGGAACAACAATTGGAAAATCACCGAGAGCGGAAAATGCGACGTGCGGAGCAAATTGTTGGGGGGCTTTGTGGCAAGGGGGCGTGGCAGAACTGGCGCCAGCTAACCAAAAACTTTCTACGTTTGTCGCGTGGCCCATTCGACTGCGATTTTCATGTGCAGTTGCAACACTTTTCCACATGCATTCAACTGTCTCCCTGTCGCGGATTCTCCCCATCTCACATGGAGACCATGTTGCTCTGATGGCCTGGCTGCAATCAGCTTTTGCAAATTATTTTCTGCTGCCTTAGTTCCCACCCTCATGACATAATTAAGCATTTTTGTTTGCCCACGGCTCGGCTGGCTTTTGGGCCCACCAGGCATCCCAATCCCAGCCAAATGCGTTCCGAGTGACAAGAAGACGACACCACCACAACATCGTCTGACTCGCTGACATTTCTCCGAGCTTCATTTTCTTTCTTTTTTTATTTTTCGGAAGATCTCCTGCAGCGGGAAATTATCATTGTTGCTTTCAGATGCAGATGCAGGTGCAGTGAAATCTTGGCCAGCGTCAAGTATCTTCTGCTTACGGAGATGGAGTTGGAGACAGAGACTTTGTCGGTGGCCCCTTGTCGTTGAAGGCATTGCTGGTTTATTGTCTTATTTGTGGCTTAGTTTTATGCCGCTGCTTGCTGCCATTGCCGCAGTTGTAATTTGAGTTGCAATTTCTATTATTTACTTGCAGTTTCTGGCTCACTTCGGTGTGAACTCTTGGCGTTGGAGGGTTTCCCCTTTTGCTAAGAAAACATAGGCTTGTAATTTAGAAATTTTGATAGGATGATTAGTCTAATTCATATATTTTTACATTTATTACTCATTAAATTTTTTGTATATGTTTTCTAGATTTAAACCTTTTTTTAGTTTAACTGCGTACGTAAAAGATCTAAAACTTTTTTATATTTGTCTTAACATTTTTTATAAAAGGTTAATTGTTTAATTTCTGGAGCGTCTTAAAGTGTTATACTTTAATTTTATTTATTCTGTTAGACAACTGACAGTCTTATAATAATTCCTTGGAACACAGAAAACAACTTTCATTCATTCATTCATTTGATTATTGGGTGTTCCTTAATTAACCAAATGTATATTTCACTTAAAGACCATAAAATCTTTGGGTAAGTCACTCTTCTTGTTCATGCGTTGGTTTGTTTTATTATATTCACATATGATTTAATACCAATGTTTCCCAATCATTTACGACAGTCACAGTGAAATAATTATGCATTGCACTTAACACTTTAAAGATTGGAGACTTTTCGTAACGGTTCTTCAACTCATTTCCCACAACATAAATGTCATTCTCATTGTTCTCATAAAACAGAAATTATATGTAATTCATATGCACCATTCACATGTGGCCCGAACGCTTTAACACTTGCTGGCGGTACAATGTCTAGCAACAATTTAGCCATTCATACTTCGAGTCGAGTTTAGCCATCATCTAGAACATTAAGCTCAGGCGGTCATTCCAAGTAACACAAACGAATTAAGTTTTAATTAGAACATTGCCACACACTCACTGCGCCAGCGACACTTGGTTCCCAAGTGGGTTTTCGAGTTCACCAGGGGCGGTCGCGGTCGCAGATTTACTAACTTGGCCGGTGGAAGGTGCCCAGGAGCAGGTTACCGATATATGGGTCAGTCCGTGGCTGGAATTAAGCGGGCTTTAAGTGGGTTAGCTGTCAGTCATTGCATAAACAAATCGGCAGGTTGCAGCATTGAGATAATGGTCTCAAAATAAATCGATTTCCTTGCACATTTTTCGCCAGCCCCTGAGGAAAAGCTGTCGCACCAGCATTTAAATTCGAAAATTTGGGTTATTTAACGGTCTGCAAACGAGCCAAACGAGTTGCATGCAGAGAAGAGAGGAGAAGGCAGCAAACGAAAGACTTAGGCGACAAACTGCGTCCAGCACTTGATTTACGCGAACCAACACATTAGCACTCAGATGGAGAGATTCGAGACCAGGGGACACACACACGCACATTAGCCGAGAGATTTATGAACAGATCCCGCCAACTTAAAAAGGCTATAACGGCTTTCGGGGCTTTAACTAGCAACTTGCCTTGCACTTGTCCCGTTTTCGCAGCTTGGGCTAAAACAATTAGCCCAAAAATGGCCACTAGGAGAACCCAAAAACATATGGCTGCCATATCCTGGCAGGCTCTTTTAGATTTTCACTCGACTTTTCCTTTGATCTGTAGCTATAAGCACTATCCACACGCTCGCATCGCGCTTTAAGCGAAACAACCGACAACGCAAACACCTCGCGACCAACTGAAGCTATCTTCCCAACTGAACTGCAGGCTGAAAACCGAGTGCGATGAGACTAGTTTTTCACACACAGCTAGAAAACAAGAAAAGCCACGACAAGTGGCTGTGGAAAAGCGCTGCCAAGAAAAGTGGGGGAGTGCTGAGTACTGGGTACTAGGTCTGAGTATCCTTGGCCATATAGACTTGGCTCAGAGACCGTTGCGCTACTATTATTTATTTCTTTAGTGCGTTGCGTGCTGGCTGAAAGACAAAAGCCAGGCCCAGTGGATGAATGAAAGCCAGCCAGAAAGCGAGAAACAAGGAAGGAAGGTCCAATAGCGCCTAAGCCAGCTGGTCGTAAAAGTATAAACAACAAAAGTGATTAACATAAAGCATAAACATGCAGTTCGCTGGGGCTTCAAGCCCTAGGCACTTTTGGATGGTGATGGTGATGATGCCCCTTGATGGTGATGGTAATGGCGATGTCGATGCCGATACCGACGAAGATGCCGCAATGGAAAGCCGAGTCAGCAAGTATAAAATCAAACAAAACACGGCCAGACAATATAGCGATAATCCGTAGTGAATCCAATATGAACCGAATGGGAACCGCTGCAGTTGCAATAAAGGCATATTAACGGTTCTTGGAGATGCTTACTGCTAAAAAGAATGAAATCTAGGGAGAGCCCATAGGGAGTGGAAAAATGCTAACAAGACAGCCGAGAAGAAAGAGCGAAGAAAGACAGAGGCTCAGAAAGACTGAGCAGCGTTTGCATTATGCGGTTTAATAGCTTTACATAACACCTGAGTGGAGACGAAGTCGAAGCAAAAGCAGTGGATGCGACTGACCGACAGCCCACAGCAACCTACGCAAAGGTATGCACTGTAAAAAAGAATTGTGTTTGGCAATAGGACTATCAAATAATGTAAAAGTTCAAACTATACTATAAAAAAATACTAATACTACTTATGTTAATAAATAAAATAGTAGGTACTTTAAATTTAGTTTTAGGCAACTTTTAAATGGTTCCCTTCTCAAGAAAATAGTGAATAAAATTATTACGATAAGTAAGAAAATTAAAAACAGTGAAATTAACAATGGTTTCTACAGTGTACGGCGGCAGCGGCGCCGTCTTGAAGAGCCGAACCGATCGAGCCAGCGGCTTGGAAAATTGGCGCGTGCGAATGCTCCTGCTTTCTGAGCTCGCTTGTGGTTAGCCACTGCAGTTCGCTGGAAGAATCAATGCTAATCAGCGAGGGCTGCTCGAGAAGTAGGCAAGTGAAAGCAGGAAGATATGCTAATTCATCAGCTTTTTACTGCCATATCAGTTGCACATCAGTCATTGGATTCGGTATGAGGCAACCAACAAATTGTGTATGCATCGTTGGGTTAAAGGGATTTCAAAACTCCTGACTAATTAAACTGAACATTTGCGTATAACATTCCTTCTTCTCTTTTTTAAGCCGCTTGCCTACAATATAATCTTTATGTAACTTTCAGTTTTTTGGCCTACGCCGATAGAAATTAATGATCAATTATAGCCATCATATCTTGCAGTTTGGTGCCAGAGTTAACCGATTTCATGTTTTTTGACTGCAAATCTATTTCAACTAGTTTTTGGGATTTGCTGGCGCCACTTTCATTTCCAGTTTACGCAATGACTAGTCCAAGTGACAAAGGCATTTCACAAAAATCATATCAAAATTCACGAATGCGATTGAGTAGCGTAGGAAAAAACGACAAAAAGATATTGAATGAGTTTTTTTCCATCAATCTTGTATGATAAAATCCAGATTACATCGAATGTTTAGCTTAGCCCACCTGCTCTACTTTAATGTATTGTATTTAAATAAAAGAAAAACAATGCCGTAACTCACAACGCAACATCGATAATTTGCAAATTGACCTTTTCATTTCTATGTCAACGTTTTGACAAATGTTTATTTTTGATAAAAATTATGTTATTGTTAGAAAGCAAAAGGCGGATTAATTTATTCATTTGCATTCAAAACTGCGCGCTCAAAGATCTGGGTCAAATGCTCCATCATCATACGTTGTTAGATTTTGGAACTATAGCAGCGCACCTAGCGAAGGTAGTTACTTTCAAAAACAGCCCCTTGTCAATAGTCGACTTTTTGGCGCCACTGTGCAGAAATTAAAAGAATCAATCGTGGCCAGACGAAAAAAAGCATCAAGGGGTTGGTACCAGTAGGAAAAATATGACTAATCTTCATGAAGAGAAGAACACATGGCGCCTTGATTCAAAAATATTGCACTTTTGAGCTTGATATGTAGGAACAGAGAAGAACGAGAATGGATAAAAAATAAAAAAAAAATGAAAGTTTTAAAATAGGCAATTGAAAATTATGACATTAATTAATCGATACGCAATAACATATCTAGTTTAGCTCCTTCTCCATTCTATTATTTAAATGCAAAATGGAATAAAATTCAATTTTAAAATCAAAATGAATTTTGTAAATTCTCTTGTTTTATTTTCAAAGTTTAAATATTTATTAAAATGCAGTATGATGTTCTCTTGAATCGATTTAATTACAATTAATTTATTGTGACCGCAATGGCTAACTTTCCCATGATTGGTTCAAAGATTCCGGAGCAAAGAAGCTATTATAATTTTGATCATGATCATAACGTGTCCAAACGAATAAGAGTGGGATTTAAAAATTAGCATAAGCTTTTTAATTTATATTAATTGTAAATATAAAAAAATATTAATTAAACAAGTCGAAAGGTTTAATTTAAATGAGATAGATATTTGAGATCAGTTTAAGTACGTTCCTCCTATTTTCTGTCTTAGGTCTAAGCTTGTTTCATATTCTCAAGGCTGAACTGCAGGATAAGCACAATAAAATTCATGGCGTATGAGACCAGGAAAAGCCAAAACGAGTTGTCCAAGGTAAAAAGGCCTAAAATACAAAACTTGACACTGCCAGTGGGTGAGACCAAAGGAAATGGTGTTGGGTAATGGCCTGGAATATCAAAAATAATCTTAATTCCTTAATTATGTCAGGTTCACCCACCTGTTCCCGAGTCAGCCTTCCGGCAGATATTCCATTCCAGACATCTTTTTCGCAACCGACCTGATCTCACCTGGCAAAGATGGCGGCCAAAACGACAGCATACAGCTGGACTGCCATAATCAGACAGTTATTGGAAATGGTCAGGGGAACCCCATGAAGAGACGTAAAGTAGGACATAAAGGCGTATATGTTGGCCAGAATGTTTATAAAGTTGCCAATGACCAGAAGAAAGAAGCCAAGCTGAAAGACCTCCACGAATCTCTGGACCAATATCAGCCAGCTGCGTTCCTTCTGCAAAAGTCTTGCCAGGATGGGTTCATCTTGATCCAGTTGATTGTAGCACTCCAGTATTAGTAGCATGCCCCCAAATATACCATTGGCATAGACGCTCGAAACATGTTGCACGTATAGCTGGACTCCAAAAGCTGCTAGTTGAGTCCAGGGCAGACGACTTCCGGCTCCCTCGAGAAAGGGAACATTACAAGGAGTTCATAGAGGGAGAGGAGCAACTTCAGCCAGAGGAACAAGGTGGACCACCAGCTCAATCTTCTCCTGCGATGCAATCTTGCCAGCCTGTCACCAAATCGGCTAACTCCTTCCGATTTAAGAGGTGAGCTCCCAGGAGAGCCAGGGAAATGAGGAAATCCCCCGTCATGGCGGCCAAGGCAATTGTCTTGAAGACCGTCGAAAGCTTGACATTCGTGGCCTCATAAATTTCCGAACTTTGCCACAAATAAATGGGGCCACCGATGTGAGTAGAAGCCATCTGAAAGCCGCACTTAAGGTCATCCATCGCTGACACTGGGCGACCTTTGACCCACCAATTTAAACGGGGCCAAGGCCAAAAGCTGCCAGAATCTAAGCAGCAAACAAAGACCGCAGATATGTGGCAATCGCGACATTTTCCGGGCAACTGACCCGACTACAATTCGACTTATATCTGAATGTCAGCAATCGCTATCGCCGCCCCAGAGGCACTAAGCCAATTCCAGATAAGTGCCATCGATATGTATTTCTATCAACAAATTGCAAGCATTACGATTAAGTGAAAGAGTTGTGGTGTCCCTCGCTCGACTGACTCACAGTCCCCAGTGGATTGGCGCTGATTTCGTGACCAGAGCTCAGGTCTTGGGCTTAACGCGCAGCTGGAAGGTTTTGGTCAGCGTGGACATAAAGTTGGGCATTTCCTTCATCTGGTTAGGGCCTCGTTCTTGTATTCGACTGGTACTCGTAGGCCACCTTCCTGTTCACGGCTGTTAGGAGGCGGAGTAGCTCTGCACCCTCTGGCTGGGATGCCTCGTTGGAGGCGGCGAGGTCCAGGACGCGGCACAAACTCTGAATGAACCAGGAGCCATCGTCAACGTTGCGGAACGAGAAAAATTCTGAAAGAAAAAAGGGAGTTAGTAAGGATGAATAGCAAAATCCAAATGAAATAAAAAAAATTTCAAAGATAAAAGTGAAATCTAAATGTTTTATAATTCACAAAAATATATGATTGTTAATTTCCGGAAGCTTCTTATAAAAACAAATTAAGGAGGTAAATTAAAAAGGTTAAAAAAAAATATTGTATATAGGCAAATGAGCAGATATAGTAATTTTTTAAACCGAAACAAAGATAATTTAGTTGTGCTAATAAAATAAAAAACCAATTTTAATGGTAATATGAGAACCCATCCTTTAAGCCCTTAATTGATTGATGTTGAAAGCTTTATAAACATGGAAAACTTTCATTTCATTGTGAAATTATAAAAAGAAGACACTTTGACAACACTCACTGTCGAAGGTGGAATAGAAGACGAGCATGTCCGCCGTGCTGGGGATGGCATAGGTAATGGGCTGTACGGGGGCAGCGGGTTCCGGGGCAAGTTCCCTGGTCATCACCGCGAAGGATGAGAACTCGACGGCCTTCTCCAGATTTTCGCCGCGGCAGGCCTGGATGAAGAAGAGTTTCGGCTTGTTCTTCAGCGTCTTGCAGTTGTCGCCGAGGAAGGGATTCCAAAGACGTTCCACCGGATACGACATGTCCTTGGCATAGACCTTTCCTCAGTACCGTGCGACATCACCGCCAACACGAAACAATCGTTCCGACTGTGATCCTCGCGAGCCACTGCAATTAATAGTTAAAATTCATTCATAATGTCTAAGTGAAAGGTTGTCTAAAACTAATTATAAATAGATTATTCATTCAACACCGTCACAGTATCTCTCTTAACACTTCTTTCTTTTCAAATAAAATGTTTGGCTGACTTTCAGATCGAACAGAAAACCCGATTACTGTCTTTATCTCATAATTATTGCAGTTATAAAAGTAGTGACTTTGTTTTGATAATGATAAGATATCTGTGTTTGAAATATGTCACCAATACCGATAAAAGAGAATCGCTTAAAATATAATTTAAATACCAATAATATGATTGTTATTATTCTCTTTCAACACTTGTAAGGTAATAAAAGTATTTTAGTCTCGAAAGTGTCCTCATTAAGGAAGACATTACTTTGTATTTTACCATGCAAGACAAAAATAACTTGATTCAGTTGGTAGATAAAGCGGTTTTAGTGATTTATGGGTGCTACGATGCTTCTGGACGCTAAATGTAACTTGTAGTACATACATATAGGGAAACTCACCCTCCTTGAGCTTGTCGTTGATGTCGGAGAAGGTCAGATCGTCGTAGGTTCGTACATCGAATCCGAATCCCTTGAGCGTGGCCTCCATATCATCCCGATCCCGTTCGGTGCCCACGCGCTGTTTCTGCCCCTTGACGTCCTTGTGGTTGAGGATCAGCGCAATGCCCGCCCGCTCGCAATTCTCGTATGTGTCCTCTGTGGTGGGCCGCGAGATGATAATCCTCTTGAAATCCAGCTCCGAGGTTGGCGTCCTGGCAGTCTGCGTGGCATCCGCTTGTCCTTCTTGTGCTTGTTCTTCTGGCCGAAGAGTGAGAAGTCGGTGTCGTCCATTTCTGACCGTCTTCGCGCTTTGGCAACCTGTGACTAAGCGCGATTAGGTTTTTCTAGCTATCAAACGAACCCAAAAAATAAAAAAGCTCCCTCTCACTTTGGCTCTTATCTAATCAATGCAGGTGTCTTATCAGCCTGCTGGGGTGGTAATTCTTCCGCTCTTTGCGACATTTTTCGACTCTTGCAAAACGTTGATTAGCCTGCTCGAGGGGAAGTTACGTTTATTGGCAGTAAAATACAATTCGCTTTGCCATTGCACCAGACAATTTGATTTCCCTGACGGGTCACGCCCACAAAAATGGGGGCGCTCGTCGGGGAAATTGGCAACTTCCGGCGAAAGTGTCGCTGGGATGTCTTAATGTGTTTTCAATAAAATTCAGATGCGCAAAAAAGCATTGGGCGGCAAACTTGGGCACGCAGTTCAAATGTTCCACGCACACAAAGTAACGGAAACCGGAAATGAGAATGGCGTCCCAAAGTTGAAGAAGTACCATTCTAACATGTACCTAAAAAACAGAGGGAGAAATATTTGGGATTTTACGATTGTTTGTTTTAAAAAAGTTATCAAAACTATGTTTTCAAAAATAATTTTAAACAAACAAAAATTACCTACCGGAACAATTTACTTTATTAAATTCCTATCATAACTTCAAACAAATTTGAATTGTGTTGATTTACATATAATATTTATTTTTTTTTCTGTGCACCCAAAAAGTGTACCGCACCTAAGAGAGACCATTGCGTGGGTGGTAAAGAGAAAAAAATAAAAGAGAGTGCTGGAAACGCGTGGCAAATGGAACACACAACAACAATTGTGGTTAATTAATAAAGCTGCTCCTACGACCGCTGATTGGGAGCCAATTATAATTGACTTGTAATTATAATTAGCGACATCAATCTCTTTGTCAACCGAAGAGCTAAAAAACACGATAGGCTGGGAATGCTGGAAAGTTGTTTAGCCGGCTTTTCAGAACAACCGCATTGGGTTCTCGAGGGGCCTTGGCCGCCGAAAGCAGCTGTTGTCCCTCCCCAGTGACCCAAAATCTGCTCTTATCTTACAGCTCCGAAAAGGCGCAGAGAAAGGAGAGATTTATTGAGTTGATATTCCAAAAATTCACTTGCTGAATGCTCAGCTTAAGATGATTTATCGAGTGTCTTTTTTGGAATAGCAATGTAAGTTTCACCTGAAATTTATGTGGTCCACATTTCTTATCATTTTAATAATAATTTCTGGAGTTTAAAGATCTTATTAATTGATTTTTAAAACTATAAAAAATAGGAAATATTTCTTAATATAGTAAAATTATTGTGTTTCTATTAAATTTAAAAATGTTTACTATCAAAATAAAACATTTTACATACTCAATCCCAGCATTTATTACTTCTTCTGTTGAAGAATATCTTCGTATATAATTCATGTGATTAAGCAATTTGAAAGCCATAATTACGTAATTCAGAGGGAATTACTTAAAGTGCAATAAGTACTCCCACCGGTTGATCATGTTTTTGTTGCTGCTTTCTCCGTTATGCGTGCTTATTTACCTTGTAACACCTCCTGCAAAACGCTCTCTTTGAATTTAAGAGAGACAGAAGAGATTCTCCCATAAATGTGGGGGCATTCCGATTCCACTGTTAACAGGAAAAAGCGTTGGGTCTATGCTAAGACCAGAGGGAGCCAATGTTAATTAAAAACTAAAAGGGACCTTTAATATATAAATTGTAATATCATTTATATGTAAAAGATACTTGTTAATATGAATTTGTCGATGTGCACATAAGCTCTATCCTACTTTAACGAAAAATGTATAATATAGATTCTATTTGATCTTGTGATCCTGGTTTTGAAAATAATCCCAAATTTGTGGTTCAAGCAATTTGTATATTTAGCATTAATCTAAGTTATAACTTAATATATATTATTTTATTAAAAATCGGTTCAACCTGAGTTCTACTAGTAAGTAACTAGTAAATGATTTATTGCAATCTTTTGCCAGAATCAGGCTGCGCTCATGTGCCTGGGACCAGACCGTTCCGTTCCAGGCGTTCAACAGAGAACCAGCGACCGAAGAGAGAGATGCTATGTTAACGCCTGCAAACAAAAACACCAACATTCTGATTCGGCGACTCGAATCGCGCGGTCGCATTTTCCGGAAGCGGTGGAAAATTTGGAAAACCGGGAATTTCGAACTTAAAACCAAAATTGAAACCAAAACAGCCACGCCAAAAGTTTGTTCGTGTGGATGTGAATTGTTTGTGTCGGATTCGGAAAAATTCGCATTTTTTGAGGGACGCGGGATCCAACCTCCGGTCGTGTGTTTTTCCTCGCCCCCATTTGAAGTCCTTAGATTGAGGATAAATGGGCGAAAGGAAAGCTGAGCTGTGACAACAACAAAGAAAAAAGAGAGTAAGGAAAAACAACTTCAGTGTGTGCCAAGTGCAAGGAGTTGTAATTTATAGTTGCCGAAATTAAATTATGTTAAGTGCCCCAAATCACTAAGAAGCAGAAGGTGCAGTGAAAAGGAAGCGGCAAAATATAAACAGCAACCGTGGAAGAGAAAAAATACATAAGTACTGGAAGCAAAAAAGAGAAATAAGTACGTAAGAGGTGAACCAAACAAACTGTTTGATTATAATAAGCGGGGTGCATAAAATCTCATTTGAGTGCAGAGTGTGTGCTTTGTAAGGTATGCAAAACCCCTCACCAAAAACAACAACAAATTAGGGTGGCTGGGCTGGACCAGATGAAAAAGAAAACAAAAGGCCAACACAAACGTACCTCTTTTTTTTTGACCCATTCCCGAAAACAACCCACATACAGAGGGATATAGAGGGAAACAGAACCCACAATGCGAAACGAAAACGAAATCAAATCAAAAGCAGAAAACCAGCACCAACAGCCCGCCGAAAGGGAACAAAAAAATCCTCAGCTAGCTTTTAGGCGAATGCCCCGGCAAAGCGCATAAAAAAATAGATTAACAGGCTAGGCAGGGCAAAAAAAAACATTGAAATTCTGACGTCGTCGCTGGCTAAGCCTCTGCACCAAAAATAACAGCAGCATAAAAAACCAAAACATCATTTGGGGATGCCAAAGTCGGGTCTTTCGATTGTACCGATACCGGGTACCTTGATTTCATTAGCTTTACGACAAAACCGTTAAATATTTGGGAACAATGGTATTCCATTAAATTTAAGGCGAATCTGTAATTAGAAGTTTAACTCAATAGATATTGAAGGTACAATGTTATCTTAAGATACTTAAAGATTTAATCGAAATTTACAATGCAAGGATAGGATATAGTTATTTCTTTTATAGTTCTTTTCCAGTTCATTCAAAGTTACAAATGATGTGTTTTCCTATTCTAGACTATAAAGTATGAAAGTTCATATTCCATTTATGGTTAAGCTCTTACCTAATGAGTTTGGGAGTTAATTACACCAAACCAGGGAACTAAGACAACATTTGTAATAAACCAGTCATTCTTATAGAACATGATCAACAAAGGTCTAGGCACTAGGTTTAATTTATGATGGGGATTAAAAAAGTATCCCTGTTCTCTTGCATTTATATAAATGCTTATTCTTATCACTTTGTATTAGAATTGGTTTTAGGTTTCCCAATTCTAATAGTATATACCCTTACATAAGGTAACCGACAACAAGTTGGCAACTAACCAGCTGGCAGCGAACCATCCGCGAAGATTTGTGCTTCTTTTTTACGTTCCTGCAAATGAAGTTGCAGTGGACATCTAATGAACCCGCACCTGAATGGATGGCGATGTAGACTCTTAAATTGCCAGCACACCTGAAATATTCAAGATACTTTATGGGCATGCCTCAGCTGGCCCAGAAGCATGCTAGTCATGCCGCAGGATGCCGACCCTGTCCCTCATCCAGCCCCATCCCATCCATCGAGGTGTAAATTCTGTAGCAGAAACACTCATTTATGAGCGGGCTAAGGTTGCGCTTTTTGCCGCCATTCCTATCCCTCACGACCCTTTTCATTTGAGGAGAATGGGATTTCCCCTGGGAATCTTCCTCTAGGGACTTCTTTACCAGTTTTATGAACTTCAGCTGAGCAATTATTAAATATGCAGGCTTCTTGCAGCTTTAAGATAAGCCTGGGCGGTTATTTTGGTGGGTGACTTCTGCTCCTTTTTTCGGTGTGCCCTTTGAAGTTCTTTTTGAAGAGAGGGTGGAGGAGGTGGTTTCTAAAAATGTGCGGGAGACAGGCAAACAAACATTAATTGTAACTGTAAACGGTGTGAAATGAGCGAGTGAATGAATGAATGGTTGAATGACGGAATGAATGGATGCTTAGTAGCGGCTTGAATGAATGAATGAATGACTCTCGAGTGGAGCTGCCAGTGACGCTCTTCTCAGCATCTGAAAATTGCGTCAAGTGGATGTCATCGTTGTTGGCCGGCGACAATTTTGATGAACTCAACACACAAAAAACACTTGACAGCAGCGCCGAAGATTTTTTGGGGGCGGGGGAGGCCATGCAATAAACGAAATTATGACGCTAAATTGAACACAAAACGCCCAGTGAGACAGGCCGAGAGATATAGTAGAGTCAAAGAATAGTCCAGGGAAATATATATGTAGTTGGGGGCGCAAAAGGGGTTGGGGCGATTGGGCTGGAAAGTGGGCAATGGCATGGGGGTTTCGTTTTCAACACAGCATCCACTCCGCATCCACCCGTCCACATTTAACGCGCGAATGAACAGCAATCAGCCGAAATGGGGGATATTCAACGAAAAAAGGGGGCGGGTGAAGGGACTGTGGGCATGGCTCTGGAATGGGACCTGGACATGGACCTCTAAAGTCCGGGAATCGGTCTGTATCTGGTTGTGCCGCGATGGTGTGATGGTGTGATGGTATGCCACCAGCCCCGGAGGGTACATTCAACAATAAAAGTCATGATAGACATGGCAATACGGAAATGCTATTTTTGGGGCTGCCGCCGCTGCCTTCACACGGGAATGGTCCACGTCCGCCCTGTGAGCGGAAGGTGAGAATTAAGAAATTAGCGTATACCCAGTACCCAGAACCCGGCATCCAGTATCCACTATACAGTATACAGTACCCTCTAACCATTACCCATTTCCCAGTTGGAGCTGCCAGATGGGAGCCGATGGAGCTGCTCGTAAATTGCCCGCCGCCGCTCACTTTAACTTAATTATATAATTTGCGAGACAGCAGCGCTGAAAAAGGGAGACGAGCCGACCAACGAAAAAGGGAAATATGACAAAATCGTTAGTTCCAAGGCACTGAAGTTTAAATGCCCTGAAAAAGGAATACATTTGGAAAATATCTAAAAAAAGTAGGAATTGATGAAGAATTTGACTTGAAAAAGACAAAAATGTTTGTCTAGACTCGATTAGCAAACAATGGACTGAATATTTTTACGTAATTAATTGGATATGTACATAAAAGGTAGATGAATAGTATTCCCCACTAAATTAAAATAAAGATTAATTTGGCAAATACAAAAAAGACACAAAGAATTACGCTTACAAACTATCCACATTTTGTTAAAAATAAGAAATAAAAAAACTGATAAAAATCAGTTGATTTCAACGCTTCAAGGCTTAAAAGTATAAGAAACACCTATAAAATTTACAAAAACTCATTTAGAAAGTGCACACAATCTTTTTCTGGTAGAGGGTATAAAAAAAGCGGGCTTCCTGGGTTTCTGCGGTGCACTGAAAACTAAATGAGCTGAATGCATTTAAGCCCAAATCAGCGCAAGCCGTCGGCTTAGTGACGGGGACAAACTGTGTCTTAAGTGAGTCAGCAGGCATCCGGACGGGGAGCAGGACGAGGACCGCCGTCTCCTGGTAATGGGCGTGCTGGAAAAAAGTAAATAATCCTTTAACCACAAAGCAATTATGCAACCCGGCAGGAGCAACGAAACGACAGCGACGGAAAGGCGACATCTTGTCAGCCAGTGAAAAATTGCCAACCAATGACGGCGACAGCAGATGTATGTATGTTTTCCGGAGGGAGATGGAGATGGACGGGGGAAAAGGGACTGGATGGGTGGCTAGTGGAAGCCCACAGGTTGCAGGCAACAAATTACTTAAATGCCAAGCCGAAAAGTCTGGCAGAAGCTTATGTGAAAATTTAAATTGGCGAGGGACGTGGGGCGGAGGACGAATGTTGGTTGGTGACTCTCTGTCCCTCTTTTTGCGGTTACCTTGCACTTTTGGCCGCAACAAACCGGTGACACATACGAGGCCGAGTGAGAAATGAGACAACATTTTATGGTCCACAGCCAGTTTTCATTAAAACTGCGACTTTGTAGGGAGGTGGATTTTGAAAGTACACACTATAGTGATTATTTACGACACGTCTTAAATTTACTGAATTTTTTAATTATCAAAGAGGGAACTACATTTTAAAATTTCTTATTTACTGATAAATTTAGTAGATTTTTTAAGGATCAAAGAGAGAACTATTACTTAAATTTATAGTATATTATACCTAATGATAGAACGACTTATCTGGTTTTTTGGGGTGGTCTTGCACTCATCTCATTATACTTCGATTGTCATTTTGGCCAAAGTGGACAACTTATTCCAGGATTATAATAATTTGCACATTTATCTTGGGATTTGTTGGAAGATTATCATGTTCATTTCTGGTTTTAAGGTTTTGCAAACACATTTGTTCAAAATTGCCCATCTAAAGCATCTGTTTTATGAGCTAACTAGTAGTTGAAATGCTATATTCTGATCCCAATGAAATGCTAGAATCAATAGACCCTTTTAAAATAACCTTTTCTGTGTGCAACAGAAGCCCCTAGATGTATCGTCCATACAGCTAGCTTATCACATCTCATTCATTCACCTCCACGTTTCCCGTATCTCTTCTTGCCATTTCCCACGATGTGGGGCCATTTCCAGCTCAGGTTGCATTCTCATTGGCAACTCGTGTGCCTTCAGTGCAGAAGTTAAGCGCTTTTCTATGCCTTCATTGCCAGATCAGAGCGCAATTGATGGCCAGCAGCTCAGAGCCTTTAACCCGCCTTAGCCGCAACATGACAATGCCACACAGAGAATGAAAGAGGAAGAATAGAGGAGGAGGAGGAGGATGAGGAACAGTGGGGATTTGGCCAGACGGAGATGGAGACCAAGACCACGACCAAGAGCAATACCAAGTCCCTGCCCCCCTGCCGAATGTCCAGCTGTGTCTGTTTACATAGCCACAGCTCTTTAGCAACCCGTCTGGACATCGTTTTATGTTCATCTGGTCCGGGTTTGTGCTTCAATTTTCGCTTTAGATGGGCACAGGGGGTTAAAAATTGGCAAGGGGAGGTGGAAAGTGGAGGCCCTGCGGGTTTGGTCAGTACTTGGACGACCTTTTCAACGGGGTCGCGGATTTACATTTGTTGCTCTTCGCTCGGCGCCAACTCATTCATAAAAACGCACGCAAAGTCAAGCGTTGCAAGTTGAAGGTTGCCCCGCCTGTGGTTTTCCTCCTCCTCCTGACCCCTCACCCACCATACCCCCACACCACCCCCCTTTTTTGCCCACCTTGCACTCGCCTCCTGTGCTCGAGCTTTTATGCAGTTAAGTGCTTAGTTACGTGTAACTTTACACTGTTTAACAAACTCACTCACTCACCGCACAGTGAGTCAAAGGAGTTCCTGAAAAGAAGGGGTGTGGAAGGGGTGAAAAGGAAGTGGTATGGGTGGGATCACTGGTTGCCAGTAGGCGACTTCCACTATACAAAGTAAGTGTGATTTTGTCGTGTGTGCCAACTGCAAATAGAAAGAGCTACACTAGAAAAACTTTAAGCTTCTGTTAGTCTTATTTTATTAACAATTTTGAGAATTACATGTATTGTTACCAATGAAATTTTATAAACTATTCCTAAGACTTAAGTCTTATGCGTAGAAAATGCGAAAAGTAATGCTTTCTTTCTGAGTCAAAGTTGTCTTATACATGTTATATTTACCACGTGAATTAAAAAAAAAATTTTAAATTACAATTTCACTTTCCTATAATATTAGCTATTTATTATAGCTAACTTTTTTTTCACTGGACAAAAGGACATTTATTAGAGTTGGTTAAACTAACCATTCGCTGGAGTGTGTGAGCCCAGAGTTAATTAGGATTCCTCTTATGCTGTTAAGCACCTTGCTGCCTCAAATGAAATCAAATAAAGTGAATGGTGGCCATAAAAAAGGAAATACCTGCGCCCCAGAATGTGTGGAAGTTAGCAGAGATAAGGTTAGAAAAAAATCCTGAAGTGGGTTCTGCGAGAAGGAAAAAAAGAGGTAATAGGAAGTCGGGTAGCCAAGTAAACAAAAGCAAACATTGCGTGCCAAAATTCCGGAAATTTTTAAGAGTCACAGCATGTGTAAGCACAATTTTTACAACCAGACACACACACACAACACAGCACACACCCTAGACCACACCACCAGACTCTCAGCTCCTGGGCAATAACCCATACCGCCACCCCCTCATCCGTCTGGTTCCATTCCTTAGTGCCATGTTTCCTGTCTAAGTGCTAAATTGAAATTCCAAAATTAAGTAATTTCTCCCAAGGGCAACTTCTGCTGGAAATCTTTACCAAATACGGACATACACCCAACGGAGGAGTGGCCACGCCCCTGAGTGTTGCGAAGGAACGCCCACAAAGAAGCAACGCACAGTAAAATAAACAATAACAACAACAAGGCTGGGAAAATGAGTTGCACTATTAGTTTTTGGCATGGGTGTGGTGTGTGCGTGTGTAGAGCTGCCTCATAAAAAGAAAATCCTTACCAAACTGTAAAAGTAGCAGCAACCGCATCTACATGAAAACAAGCTGTAAAAATTATAGGGAAATAGCAAACGACGTATTTTGTTACGGACATTAAAGCTAACGCCAAGATATTCAGTATTTCCCGTAACTCGCATCGTTTAATCCTAAACTAGAGAGCTGGCATATAAAAGTGCAGAAATATCTCAAAAGACCGGTTGAATGGGACGAACTATAAGATATGACGTAGGCAGGGCGTAAAATGTATAAAGTATCTTATGCGTTTTTTATGAGCCGCTACAAAGTTTTACTCTTCTCGGAATAAGGTTGTAAGTAAGAATACTAATTGGTCTTGTTCTTAGATTATTCTATCTGGTTCACAAATTAAAAAATTAAAATTCATTAACAGCAACTCATTCCTTTTGTATCCAAATCCCTTTGCTTTTAATCCCTTGTTTTCTTGTCACTTCTTTTTTTTGGGTTCTTCCAGGGGAACCTTAATCAAAATCGAAGTGGCTCAACACTTTCTATGGCTGCTGCTCTCCAAAATCGAAAGTTTGCCAATTCATTCCGTCACCAGCCACCACCCACCACTCACCACCCGTTTTTCCTCTTGCAACATTGTCGTTCCTTCGTGCCCCTGTTTCAGTTAACTTCAAGGAACTTCTTTTCTACTTCAGCTTCCTCAATATTTTTCAATTTAAATGATAGAGCTGGAGGAAAAAAAGGGAGGAGCAAGGAAATGATGCTTCACACTAGTGAGCAAGGGGTTGGGGGTTCCAGGTCCTGGCTGCCAAAAAAAAGTCAGGAAAACCAGAGAAAGGGAAGCGAGGAAACTTAAACACTTCTTGCATTTTTCTCATGGCACGACAACTATTTATTGCCTTGCCCGAAAACCCAGACGAAGCTGTCGAGGATTCCCTGTTGTTTGTTGGTGTTCCTTACTTTTGTAGTGCCAGCAACAAAGTTCTTTGATATGACCGGCGGCAGGGACAACTTACACAAGGAAAAATATAATATTTAATCTAATAATTAGCTGAAATTCCCATAAAGTAAATACTTACTGTGGTGTGACATTACTACTTTGGCTTTTGTAATAAAGTGAGAAATTTAGGATTGAAGTAAGAACATCTAATATTTTTGATCTAAAAAAAGTAAATATGCAAGATTTTTCCTTATGCTCCTAAGCATTAGTTAGAAACGTATATTATATTAGTCCACTAAGACTACACCTTTTTTAGGTGTATGCAAAGATTTGATAGAAGTATTTCATGTTTTTTCTTTGAGTGTACACAACGATTTCTGGAGTTGACTACTATGATGATGACGTTGAATATTGGGGTTGTCGATGGTGATGATGAAAAATGCACATGTGTTGCTAACGGCCCGATTATTTTTATTGTTTATTTACTTTGATTCGGCCCTCTTTGCTCTTTGTGTGTGTGCTATTTGGCCATCATGTTCATGTTTTTATTTGCCACGACCGGACCCGTGGCCATGTTCTTATTCGGGTTATTTGGGTTTGGTTTGCGCATTTGTGCGTAACGAATAAATTTAGCAAAATAAATAAGGACAATAATCCCTTTGAATGCATTGCAATTGAGCTTTTTACAGCCATTGACTGTAACCCCATCGCCCACTAAAATATATAGAGCACAAACACACACACACACAGACATGAGTGTGCATACTCATACAGAGATAGAGACACGGACACACGTACGTGTGGCACTTAACTCAACATTGTTGGATGGCTTAGAAAGCTTTTGCCTCTTGGGCGAGATTCCATTCCGTTTTTCGGCGTCCGGCTAAAACCATTTCAATTCTGGCTTGATTTGCATTTCAATTCCAAATCAAATTTTTCAATTGCCAGCTGGACGCACACACAGCCACAGCCCCACGCCCACACAAACGCCTATCAATATGTGTGTGTGCGCTAAGTGGCCGCACACACACCAGTTTAATTCAATTTGGGTTGGAAGGGCGAACAAATTCATAGCATACTTTGCTGCGCTGCTTGACCGACTCGATTCGGATGCGAATCTTGAAAACTCCTACTCCCCATGTAATTGACAAAAGCTGCGCCCCATAGCTCCGTAGCTCCATAGCTCCTTCGCTTCAAAATTCGAAATCAATTTATTTTATATTGAGTTAGCTGTCCCCCAGTCTCACCCGGAATAGCATTAACCTTTGGCAGTTACATTGTGTAACATCGAAATCGATATGGAATGGTTGGGAGCTGGGTTCCGGAATCGGGAGTTCAGTTCAGTAGCCAGCCAATTGCAGTGTCAGCTTAAAACTCAGCCAGTGAACGAACAATGAACCTCCTCTCTACACACATGCTCTTATTTGTTAAATTAAAAGCTTCTCCACCGCCTTGCAGTTGTTATTGTTGTTGTCCGGACAGCGACGTCATCATTACCATCACCATCATCATCATCAGCAAAATCATCATCGTCGTCTTCATTTGCCATTATTGGCTGCGGAGCGCACAAGACTTTCAATTAGTTTTATTAGGGTGTTCCAAACATTCCATTGACTCTTGAAATGAAGGGGGTTTTTAGGGGGTGGAAGGTGATGGGATTTGGTGCTATGGGATATAGTATCCAAGATCCATTGTTGTTTTCAACCCGATGCTGCTTCTGTTTGATATTGGCCTTTTCACTTTTATGCTTTTTTTTGTGGGTTTGGCGCAATTTTCGCTTTTTGCGGTTTTTTGTGGGGCCTTTTCAATGGCACGTTTTTGTTTTTTGAGTTTTATTTGGGGGGCTCCCCTTGTTGTTGTTTTGGTTGTTAGGCGCATGATTGCGCAATATTATATGTATAAATATGTGCGGAAGATTGGCTTTTGTGCGCGCGGAAATAATGTTTAATCAGCAATTTAGGCTGCATAATAAATCAGCAAATATTTGGTAATTGTAGAATAAAAAGGTTTTAAATGAGTTTCAATGCAAAAAAAAGTAATACTTATCTATACTTTTGAATTATTAAGCTATCCTTTTAATTATCCTTGGGTAATAGTTTAAAACTTTTTCCAAAACTTCTGGCGAGGGCTACCATATAGGTCAACTTTTGTATACTTTTATAGCTGTTGTGTTTTGTTTTTATTATTTTTTATGAGAAACTTGTTAAAAAGTTCTCAAGCTCATTTCATTTCTCTAAAGAGCATTACAGTTCCGTTGTCCTCCCCTCCATCTATTCAGTGGGTGCAATAATTTCCACTTTATGACTTTTGTATTGCCAAACGCCTTCTGCTGGCGATGGCATGTGGGGCAGAGTTGAAGGCAACAAATGTTTTTGACACGACAAGTCCATGGGTCAAACGCCTTTCCCCGCTTCTGTTGTTTTTTATTTGCTTCTTGTGTTTTTCTTTTTTAAACGTATTTTTTTTGTCACTGCTACTTGAGCTAGAAAAAAAGTTTTGTGCGAAAAAGTTTCGGTTGCCCGATTCTTGTGAGGTACTTGGATCTTAACTCGGTTGCCCTGGCTGCGGGTCCAGCACGCCTGGTTGAACTTGGAAGCCAAGTCAGCGAGCCCGGCTGATTATTGAAAATGTGGCGACACCGCCGACGGTCCAGTTTGCACATAATTCAAGGGGTAGAAAAAAAATATACGTAGCCCTAAGAAAAGTTTGGCCCAACTTTATTTTTCACTTTTCTTCTCATTCTGTGTCGTTGCAGTTGAAAAGTGAACGCCGAGCTAAACAAGTTGCAATGTGAAGAGCCCTGAAAGGACAAGTGCGAACCAAGGAACAGGACTTGTCAACGACTAGCAGCACCAGCAGCAGCAGCAGGAGCAGGAGCAGCTGCCACAGCAGCGATTGACAGGACGAAAAACAAAGCCCAACCGGCTGAGAGGACTTCCTGCACGAGTGGCACGGCCAGCAAAAGTTTAACGTTGTTTTTCCGTTCCATGGCCCCCGGAAAACTGCAGCAACGGGGCGCAATGTGCTGGCCAACTACCGCAGTCGAAGAATAGAAAGAATAGAAAATCACTCGAAAAAGCCTGGCCAAAAACAAAAAAAAAGAAGAAAAGCGTAAAAATAGAGAGAGGAAAAACGAAGCAACCACTGTGCGGTGCAGCATATGTGTGCTTTTGCTGTGCTCTTTCTGTGATGCCACAAGGACACAAGGACACTTCAAGTGACAGCAACATACGCGAGTTTTTCGTTCGTGGAGAGTCCACCATTTCCATCTAAGACGCAGCAGTATGCGCAAGCACAAAGCGCCGCCCAGCGGCAGTCCAAGGACAATGCCCCAGGATATTTCCCAATCGGAGCAGTCGGCGGGAAACGAGGAGTCCCCCGCAGCAGCAGCAGCAGGGCAGGGCAGTGGAAACCCCCCAGCAAAGCCTGCTCCTGGGCCACAATCCTGCGGATGGCTCCGCTTCAGTGCCGTCGCTAGTCGCCTGGCCCCGCCCCCCTGTCAGCCTCCCATCAGCAGCAGCAACAGCAGCAGTGTCGCCACTAAGGAGCGACCTCGTCCCACAGTCCGGTTCATATCCCTGCTGCACGTGGCCAGCTACGTGCTCTGCCTGTGCGCCTTCAGCTTCGCCCTCTATGGCAATGTGCGGCAGACGCGGCTGGAGCAAAGGATGCAGCGCCTCCAGCAGTTGGATGCCCGGATCGTGGAGTTGGAGCTTAGATTGGAGCAGCAGCAGCTGCTCCACTGGCCAGCCGACCAGACGCAGATCCTGTCCAGCAATCCCAGTGATGGCGAGAGTGCCACTGGAAGCGGCAGCAACAACGGCACCAGTCAGCACTTGGCGTTGCATGTGCGGCGGGAACTGCACCGCCTGCGACGGGACGTCTCCCATTTGCACTAACAAGGCGCCAGCAACGTCGCCAGGCGGCAGAGGCGGCGGCAGCAGCGGCCAGCGGTGAAGGGGGATCCGGCGTTGGACAGTGCCAGTGTCAAGCAGGTGAGCTAAAAAATAATATATATTTTAATATTTATTGGAACGAAAATTAAATTTATTATATTTATTTTAAGAATCTTTCAAAACAAAATTCAAGAAGTTTCCTTATGTCTTTAATTTTTTGAGCCTTGAAAGATCCTTGAAATATTGTTAGGCAATCTAACAAATCTTAGTCAAAGAATTTCCACCCGTTTTAAAATTTTTTTATTTTTATTTCGAAAAATCCAATACAATTTAAGTTTATTTCAAATTATACAGGAATAGTAAAATTTTTAAGAAATCATTACCTTATAGGATAGTAACATAGAAATCATTATTTGTTATAAATGTTGGAAGAATGAGTTTTGATTGAATTTGAAGAAAAGCATAAAAGTAAAATTGTGTTAGGATTTAACAAGAGAGAAACCAATTTGAAGGGAAAATATTTGCTCAATAAACATAATTATACCAAGTAATTGATTAACCAATGTCTCCTAGCTGCTAATAAATTTGGCTACTTTATAATTAAGCTGTCAATCTTAATTGCGAGTGCAACTCCCTCTTCGACATTTTCTGTTTGGTTAACCAAAGACTAATACCTTTAAGCGATTATGCAAACCGGAAATGTTTTTCCTCTTTAATAAGGGGGTCTATCGGACATACAAACACAAACATGTGTACCTTTCCCTTAATATTGGGATATCTTGTCACTCTTTGACAGCCACAATGTTGGCCATGAACATGAGCCGCCTACATTTGCGGTCAGCGCGCAATTGGTCAGAAATGTCAGGCACACACACACACACTCTGGCAGCCACACCGACACACCCATAAGTCAACAAGTCGTTGGGGCCCGTCTGTGTGAGCCCATTGTGTGTTTGTGTGGGCCACGAAATTTAATTATTTGGGTACGGGCCAAATTTATGGTAGTTTAGAGATTTCATTAATTGGAAAAGTGTTTTCCCCACCGCCTTAACGCACACACATACATCCACAGGAGGGGCTTTTCCTTGAGTTTTTCCCAATTTTCCTGTCTACGCTTTTTTTTCGTCAGCTTTTGCCCGTCTCTGGTGACATTACCGAAACTTTGATTACTCGGGGATTAGCCGAGCACCACACACACAGCATACACACTTGCATAAGTAAGCACTCGGAAGTGCCAGTTTGCCTTGTGGTTTGCATAAATTTCGTTTAAAATACTTTTTGAAAACTTTTGCGACACTCACGCAGAAGCTGCAGAAGCTCCCTTATGGGAGATGGAGATGGAGCTGGAGTTGGAGTTTGCCTCTTGGATTCCCCTTACCATCCCGAAAGTCTGGTCGCATTAACGCAATTTGTCTTGACATTCGCACAATTAACTCAGCCGCTAAGCTGCCGGACAAACTTTGGTGGCTAATCCCGCTGATTCTGATTCAGACTGCCGTGCATTGAGCATATGACTTATACGCAACGTAGGACAAGGGGTCGAAGCCAAGGCCAAAAGGCCAGTAAACGCTCGACGCAATTATTTAACAACTTTGCCAATTCCAGCGAAGGAAGCTGCAGACGAGATAGGGACACAAAGTTTTATAATCGATGCGCTGGCAGGTCGAAAGTTTCGTCCGCCTGGCAACGGTCGAAGTTTCTTTTCAAAGTCACTGCATATAAATAAATTTCTCCCCCACTCAAAATGAGAGCGAGACAGGAGTTTGGCCCCTCAAAGGATCCTTGATAAGCGCGTGCCAGGACATATAGCCTTTTGCACAACTTTAAGCCCCGCAATAATAAATCAAAGGAGCTGCGGGGGCGCCACAAGGACTTCACTTGTCACTTGCTTATCTGAGGCATAGACGATGCGGCAAAGTCATCATCGGTTAAGTCAAGTTTAAGGGAAACTCCTGCATATATGCAGGCTAGGACTATAGATTCTCCCTTCTTTTTTGGCAGTATCTCGATTGGCTGCGAAGTTCACGTCAAGGACATTGCAGTTGCTGGCGAAAGAGACTGCCGCATGCCGATTAAGTCGATTAGTTTTGGGTTTTATCGACGTTTTCCCCCTCAGTTTTGCTGGGAAATTGATAAAATTAGTGCGACAGCAGTTGGCAGTAGAGTGCCATTTCATCGGAGGAAGCATTAAAACCAATCTCACATTTTGGTAAGCGAAACGGAACTGAACAGTGGAACGGTGCTCTTTTAACAACATTCAGGGGGCTTCAAGAGCCCCAAGGACTTGAATGAATATTAATCCGTGAAATAGTGTGTTGGAAAACATTTTTTATGCATATTTAAAATCAACATGGTTCTGAACGAAAGCAGATTAAATACATTTTTTAATAATGCATAGCAGTTTGCTGACCGCAATAAACCTGCATTATTAGTTTTAAATGTACCATTTTATTTTAAATTTAAAAATGCTAATTTAAAATTCATTGCATATTTTTTTATTTACATTTTAAAACGCTAAAGTGACATCCAAATATATATAATTTAAAATTCATTGGTATGCACAGAAAGAATTTGAATAAATTTGTTTGGATTATTTAAATTTTTGCTTAAAGCCTAAAAAAATCTTATCAACATTAATTTAATTTCCCTGGCAACGGCAACTAGCTCTCACTTTAAAGAGCTAATTCAATTGGTTAACTAGATAGCATTAGAATAATTTTAATGTTTTTCCAGAGGAAGGTAATTTCCCTGTGGAATCCGCAGCTTAAAGTTGCTGTGCTGCTTTGCACATTTCATTTTTTATGAGCATTCTAAATTTTAGCATTCAAAATTTATGAGGGTCCCATGGTGCAACCACAAACACACAGGGACATGGCTGGCTGGGCTTGTCAAACTGCAAATGACATTTGGCCACTTCTCATCCACTCGCATCCTTGGCCAGGCATCCCAACCCATCCTAGTTCATCCGAAAACTGCTGTTGCATCCGCTTTGAAGGGGATGAGTATCGGGTTCCAGGTCCCTGAGTCCCGAGTCCAGAGATCCAGCGACCGGGGTTAAGGGTTGAAGTTTAGGTAACGATACACGGGTCCGGTTCAGTCTGCTGCCTCTCTCGTTGTCCAGCTGAAAACCCTCAATTTATCATAGCCGAGCGCAAAATCCACTTTAGCAGCTGGGCCAGCGACATCGTTGGCTGCGTGTGACATTTTGCAAAGCCAAAATATGTAGAACATGCCACAGAGACACATCCAGATAGTCGAGGACCCCGACTCGTCCTCCATTCCATCGCCAGGACTCTGAAACACACGTAGCCACTCACTCACTCACTCAGTCGCCCACTGAAAGAGCAGCAGTTAGGAAAATGGCATATGAACTATGGAAATTCCCAATTAGGTTTTAATGCGTACAAGTGCTTTTTATTCACTGCAATTTCTCACAGGCTTCCTCCCCCAACTGCCACAAAGCGTTGGTGTACCATACCAGATGGATAAGGATGAGTTTCTTCTCCCGGAATTCAACTCACGATTCCAGATTCAGGGTAGAAATAGGAACTCGGCAGCAACATCCCCTGTGTGTCTGTTGCGTTTATTTGCCAGTCATAAATTTCAATCACGTTGCCGGCTATAACACCGAGTGGATATACTCCATATATCAGCTATGCCTCCTGATTCTCGGCCTTTCTCTGCATATGCTGTACGGTAGCTGTAGCACCTGCGAACCCCTCATCGCCTATTAGATTTCCTTTTTTTGGCTGTCAGTGCACAGAAAAAAATGGATATTAAATGATAAATCATGATTTTGGGAGTAACACAAAAATGCCATGTTGAAAATATGAAATTCTGGGTGAAATGTGGAGGGAGTCTTACTAAAGACTTACTCAATATTAAAAGTATTAAACTTTGCCTAAGTCTTGGAAGTGTGATTTAATCGGCAAAAGACAGTGTTACCATTTTTAAGATTTGTTTTGCAATTAAATACACTTAATTTTTAAGGGCACAGATAACAGCTTTAATAAATTACTTATAGTACCTAAGGCACTTCATTTAAAAGAATAAGTTGACAAAGTAAAGAATACTTTATCTTCAGCTCTATTATTCTTAAGCGAAAATCTCTTTTCCGATAATATTGGCTATAGTTACCATCTTATTTTGAGTACCTTGCTATAAAAAAGGTCATTGCTACCCAAGATGTGCGAATTCGATACGAGGGCAAGGTTTTTTCTGTGCACATGTGCCTGTGGTTGTTTAGGGCGTGTCGAGGCGGCCGAGTGACAAACCACCCATTGCCTGGTCCTTCGAGCGTGCCCACAGAGGCTTGTCCGGTTTTCGGACTACCGAGCCCCTGAACCACACACCTCGATTGGGTTTCGACCAGTATCGATTCTACCGGCCCATCAATTGATTTCCTTCGTTTTCGTTTTCAATTTGCCAGGGACATTTTTGTTTGTGCTCCTTGCTAGGTCGTTAGTTGGGTTTGGGTTTGAGTTCGAGTTTGTGTGTTACGTTTGGCTGGACAGACCGGGCTGGTAATTTGTGACTTTGCGTGACTTTTGGCCTACCTGCGTGTGGGCCACGACCAGGACCACCACGCCTTGATTGCCATTTAAATGCTGCGCTAATAGGCCAATAAACCATTTCGCTGCACAAAAGATATCAGAAACCAGCGCAAACAACAACAGCAACATTTATTAATTAGTGAGAAAAAATTAATGCGCAACTGTCATCATTACTCCTGCCCCATCCACGGGATCCTTCGTTGGACATTGGTGGCGGATATGGCCATAAAAATATCCGTCCACCCACCCACACACAAACACACAACATGTTCGCCAGCGGATGCCACATTTGTTGACAAATTTATTTGTCGTGTGCCACGCTGACACGCCCCCTCCACTTTTGTTTCATTTGTGGTCCCATTTCCAGTTCCAGCCATCTCATCGATGTGCGTTGCTCGGCATTCCTTGGTGGGGAGCAAAAAAATGCTATTAAAAATATCACAAGAGCCCAGGCGAACAAACTAAAAGAGAAATAAAATAAGGCAAAGTAAATTCATTGGCAAAACCACACAGAAAGCCAGAGAAAAGGAGGAAAAAAAGAAGGAA